ACAAATAAATAATACTACTGTTCAAAAAATTGTCCACACATTGTGATCACAAATTCTTTACATAAATATAAAATGTTTTCTCTCCATCTATACTAATATTATAAATGCGAAAGTAACTCTGTCTATCTGTCTCGCTTTCACACCAAAACTACTGAACGGATTTAAATGAATTTTGGTACACAGATAGTTTGGAGCCTGAGAAAGCACATAGGCTGCTCTTTATATATATATATATATATATATATATATATATATATATATATATATATATATATATATATATATATATATATATATATATATATATATATATATATATATATATATATATATTTTAAAGAAAGATATTTATTTAAGGGCTTCAACGCGAGCGAAGCCGCGGACGAAAAGCTAGTAAAGAATAAATACTAAAGGTTACTATTATTAGGTACTAGTGTGAAATATTTTGATGATACCGTGGAAGGCTTGCTGCGGTTCGGTATTTTTATCATTTGTCTTGTGTTAGATCACGAATCACGATAATTACGTCTTTAAGGTTAAGCATTTTGTGTTGGCTCAATCGGTCACAATGAGAAGCAGCGATTTTGCTGGCACTCAATTTAATTTAAACTCAGACCAATAATTCAAAACAAAACATAGGTATATTTCTTTATAAAATGCGAATAAAATTCTAACCCCTCACTTCAAATAGCGATTTGACTTCCTTATTAAATAGGCCACGATGACCTCCTAGTTATTTTTTTTACTTTATTGTTGGGGCTCCAGCATTAATTTGAATAACATTAAAAGTAAAGTAACAGCCTATACATGTCCCACTGCTGGGCAAAGGCCTCCTCTATATAGAGGGTATCAGGGCCGTGATAGCTCAGTGTCCGGGCGCTCGCCTTTAATTCAATATACTCGAGCAACCTGAGTTCGATCCCCGGTGCCGGCACCAATGAAGTTTTTAACTTTAAGTGCTGTCTTATCACGTGCTCCGCGGTGAAGGAAAACATCGTGAGGAAACCTGCATATTTTCGAAATAATAACAAAAAAAAATATTTCGAAGATATGTGAAGTCCGCCAATCCGCAGTGGGGCCGCGTGGTGGACTATGCCCTGAATAACATTAATGACAATAAATATGTCAATCAACACTGTTTCTTGTAACGTACAACTTCTTTTGGTTTCAAAAATATGCCGAATACGTTTTATTCAAAACTATAGAAAAGTATGTCCTTACATAAAAATGGCGAAGATTTTATGAATTTTATTTATTGTAAGTGATAATGAAATAGTAAGTTATGTGTTAATTTTATTTAAAAATGTAAAATAAAAAACAAAGTATGTTCCACTGCTGGGCAAAGGCTATATATTATAGACGCTCCTTTATAGTATCGAGGGTATCACGGCGTCGTCCACCACGCGATCCCACTGCGGCTTAGATTACTTCACATATCTTCGAAATATTATACTAAAATGTATTAAAAGATGATTTGAAGCTAGTCTAAAATTCACACTCAACAAACTGTTGTTAGCTAGCAGCTATTACGCAATGTTATTTTTATGTACATAGATTCAATATATGGCAGACTTAACAGATGTGAGATGACTGTAGCGTTGCTAGAACGAAATTTTAGCTCATCTATAACCCGTGCGTTGTAGCTTGGTGCAGGTGACAGCTGTCATTCAAATTACGCCAATCAAATTATTTAATTGGTGACGCTAGATTGTCCATGAATCTAAGAAGAAAAAGACAGTGGCACAGCCACGCAAAAGTCTTGGCTGTTGCGCGAATGGGCCGGTCCGTCCGGGGAAATACCACGACCTCACAGAAGACCATCGTGAAGTGGAAGTGTTATACTTCTGCGTCTCTTCTTGTGGGTGAGGTAACTGTGGCCCACTTTATTATAAGGTGGCTATATATATTTAGCGCATCTGCAACCTTACGGGTGTTGCAATTGTCCATGGGTGGTGGTTATCACTCAACCTCAGATTATCCACCAGCTCTGTTGCAATGCTACCTTATCACTTAAAAAGGCGCTAGAATGTAAGTACTCGGGCAATATTTTATTGTATTGCTAGGAGCACATGGATAGTTTCTTGGGCCATACCACAGATGACAAATGTAATGAATCGAGTAAAATGTTTCTTATTATCTTCAAAATCTGGACTAGTTTTAAAATAGATTGTATGATTAAAATTGGAAAAACTTAATAATGGATACAAATGGATCAAAAATTTATATTAATGGATTATCAAACATTTTCATACCAGGATATTCTCAACGAATTTCGAATTTTTTATCCAGCCCTTTTTTTAGCCCAATTTTCAAAAGGTTTTCAACACATCTAAAACTCGGGTGTAGCAGATGTCCATGGTCGGCGGTATACACTTACCATCACGTGAACCGTCTGCTCGTTAGGCAACTTTTCACATTAAAAAAAAAACAAAAAAACATCTGGACGTATTTTTAATAACAAATATAATAAATTCAGTTTTTCCCGGATCTATCTCCAATATTTTTTCCGTTTTTCATCGATATTAAATACTAGGACCGAAGAATCGATAATCGAAATTTACTAATTCGATTATAAGTTGTTCAATCCATAAATTAATCGTGTCGATCTCAATCCATAACAATCGTGTCATTCTCTCACCGGTCACCCGCACCAAGCTACTAGTGCACAGACTCTGTGCGTTGTAGCGTAGTGCGGGAGAGACAGCTGTCATTCAAATCAATCTCATCAAGTTCCCTAATCTAGGATGCTTACAATCTATGGAATGTAGAAGTAAAGGAGGACCATCTCAGAGTATTAAAAAGTGTCCGTTGAAAGGGAGCAAATTAAGGTGGCGCTATAGTAGCAAGTAGTGGTTTTAAATAGAGCGCCACAAATTATTAGAGTATGTATAGTAGGGAGTAGTATTTTTTCTTTTTATATTAACGACATTGACTACGTAAATAGTTGAGATTTTAAATACTGCATATTTCTTAACTACAGAAGTCAAGAGAAATATTAAATTTTTCAACCCAGCACACTTCACTCTGCTTATAACTACTAAATTCATATTATTTCCACTTGCTACACTAGCGCTATTTCGGTGAGAGTTCGAACAATAATTTGCTGTTTACAAGTGGACACTTTTTCGACTAATCCCCCATACGAGACGGTCCTCCTTTACTTCTACACTCTACATATTACAATCTACAATGTTCGCAAGGCATGTTAAACTAGGCTAAATACAGTTTATATATGTCTATTTCAGTATATATGTCTTATCTATGGCTAAATAACACATGGATAGTGACGTTCTTTGAGTCGTCTTAGCACAGACGATACATAAAATTAATTGAGTTAATTGCTTATTTTAAAATTAAAAATCTTATATCAATGGATTGGATGGTTAAAATTGTAAAACTGGATATCATTAATAAAAAAATGGAAAAATTAGATATCAATGGAATGAAAATATATTAAAAAATATACACATAGTATACCTGTGTCCGAACGTAATAAGTTATACTTCTTTTAGCGTAACAAATCTAAATCATTCACAAATCTATATCATCAAAAGCGTAGCTTTACACACATTTTTGGGGCATGTCATGTTCTTTTAGCTTCCTAGTTACAACTGAGATGCAGTCTTCTACTGGTAGGCATGTAAATAGAGACTGGATATCAAAACTGACCATTGTTTCGTTCTCAGCAAGACTTAGTTGTTTTATCTAAATGATAGGAACCTTTGTATATGCCCTTGTGTGTCCTTTTAAGGGTGAGAGAACTTTAACTAGGTGTTGTTGCCAATCTGTAAGTTGGGGAGTCGATCTGGCTAACAATAGGGCTATTGAGGGGGTTAATTCAGCGTTTGGTTTATGTACTTTAGGCAACTCATACATTATTAGGGGTTTTGCACAGGAAGGTCTCATCGATTTAATGTCCAGATTTAATTTTTCGGAGTATTTTAATAAGGTCACTAGTTGATTTAAGCGTTTTAGTGGTTGGATCTGTTTTAACATTTTTGTATATGCTATACATTAAAAAAATAAAAAAACGACTACTGATAAAATTAGCATGTTCTGCGTAGAGCGACACAAAAATTAATATCTAAAAACTGGCAGTAGCCCGAATTAATAATGACACTCAGACGTCCAACGCCTCAGTCTTTCCAGGGTTCGAAACGTTGAAAATTAAAACCAAAAATAAACGCGATAAATCCGTAAACATAGTTTAATTTAGTAATATGTAATTACGTAAATACAAGAAATAATTATAACTCTACGGATTATTTCAGTGTTGTTTTTTGTCCATATCACGCCAACTTTTAATAATCTATTTATTCAGATTTACGCAGTTGGAGAACAATATCTAGATGCCTTACAGTATTGATTTAGTTTTATTAATTTAATTTTTTATTATATATAATAAATTAATTATTTTCATTATTCGCTATCTTACGATGGCGGTCCAAGCCGAGGTTTAAATCTCTACCTGAGAGTCTTTGGATCTTGTAGGGGTCGCGGAGGTGCAGCACAGCGGACGGTATCTCCGTGCCATCATCATGCACCAGCTACCTTGTTTCTCTTTCTCCTGTTCTCCATAGTTTAGACTTTAGACTTAGTCCGCGTAATCTTTCGACGTAGCTGTCAAAGCCGTCTGGCTAAAGCCTGACCAAAAAGTCGATTTCTATAGCCTATTCATATTTTTTGTAACTAAATAATCTGGGACTTACTTGAATAACGCAAGCTTTTCCTTTCTTTTCAACCTTTCGACGATATTTAAAAGAAGCTTGTTTTATGACTACGAGTTTATAAAATGTAATATCCATTATCAAGGGGTTCTATAATCTATACTACTCTATCATCAATTATCATTCATTTGGTTCAGCAGTCGTACGTAAACATGTGTGGTGATAAGTATATATAAAGATGCTCTAAGATAAATTGTCTTACTTCAAAAACATAACTTGAAATGTGTTCATTAAACTGTACTTAAAAAGGGACAAGTACTTTAAACTTTAAAAATGATACCTGGTTACGGTGCCGTGACTCAAGCCCTTTTGGGGACTCTTCTGACGTGGGGTCTTACAGCTGTTGGAGCCGGTTGTGTATTTTTTATCAGAGGAAAACATGTCAGTTAATAAATTGATTTTGAGTTTTTGAAATATCCTCGCATTATGTTTCGCTATTTCATATAATGTTTGTGTTACAGAGGAAGTTACTTGATGTGTCTCTTGGCTTTGCTGCTGGGGTCATGACGGCGGCTTCATACTGGTCGCTACTAGAACCTGCTATAGAAATGTGTGAAAAATCCGGTACTTATGGAGAACATGGACAGTACGCTTTCGTGCCTGTCGCAGCTGGGTTTTTATTTGGAGCAGTGTTTGTATTTGGCACAGACAAATTTTTGGATTATTTAGGCATTAATTCAACTAACATGATGATAAGTAAGTATTACAGATAAATTGTTTATATATTATGATTTTTACAACAATGAGTATATTAACTGTTAGGTGGCTAAGTAGTGTTCATTGTAAATCTAGTGACCTTAGGCATCAGACATGCAATCTTAACATGATTTGTAAACCAAAAATGTTCATCAATTAAAACCAAATATCTGTCATTTGTACCTCAAGTTTGACAAGGCATACATTTGAAAATAACCTTTCTGATGCCCAGTTTCTGAAACACTGATCATCATAGGAGTTAACGAATTAGGTGTCAAATGGCGGTGATGTGGCGAGTCACATCCCCCCCCCCCCATCCTCCGGATGCCCCCTCCGCCGGAGATGCATAGTTTTTTTATCATACAATTTTTAATTTTATTTATTTAATAGAATATAATAAGAATGTTACGGAGGAGGGTTCCCCACCTGCCTGTTGTCCTTAACCAGACTTAAGGCGGGAGCGGAGCTTCTAACCTTATCTGTCGAATTGCTCTGAGTTGGATGAGCAACTCATTAAATTAAAAAAAAAATTGTTTGAATAAATGGTATGAGTATGAAGTGACTTCATTGAAGTCGCCGGCTTTCTATATTTATCATGTTGGCATTACTATCTATTCTGTTGTATTAGAATTAATAAAATGTGCGTACTTTCATTGTGAAAATAACAAGTATTAATTTTTGTTTCTCGTAAACTGATTGCGACCAGAGAATTCTACTTGTTGATTTATTTCATTAGTGATTTATCTTGTTTAAATTTTTTTATTATTCGCATCTTCGAAAACACTGAAATTTATCAAAATTACATTCTATTTCACGTTTCGTAAGTTTTTAAATTTGAAGAAAAAGCCAATTGCATTTTTTACGCGTCTCTGGCAGAAAAAAATGCGTTAGAGTGCTTGGTACGAACCTCCTTAACCTCACACTTACTTAAATTCGGGCAAATCCAGTTTGCAAGTCGAAGTTGTCATCTGGAATTAGTCTTAAAAATGGAAATACCTATGCGAATTGATATCATTCTGTTTAATTTGATATTACAATTTTGACATCAAGATAGATGTAGAGGATAAAGAAAGTGCTAAATATAACAACTATATAAAGAAAATATCAAAAGTTAGATTTTAAAAAAAATATTCTATTTCTTACATGACACAAGATAGTACTTACCAACAATTTTTTTTATTTTTTTTTTTCAATAACATACTAATATATGTACAAATTTAAGCTGCAGTTCCAAATTTTCCAAATCTTTTTTCAAAAAAAAAAATTCTGTGTTAAACATACGTAATGAATCATCTAGTCCGAAAATTGTTTTTTTATTTGGGGAATGAAATATTCGTAAAACATATTATGAAATCTAATAACATGTCAAAACATTGCCCCAGAACATTTTCATTTGTTTTAAAATACTGCACAATAAATGTTGCTAATTTAGTTTATATCCAGTTTAATTTTTAAAACTTTGAAGTGCACTTACACTTTAAATTTTCAAAATTAAACTGGAGCTCAAGCTCTGTTACAATGGTAGCATTAAAGATAGTTTATCTCATCATTTATCATTGTAACTGACAACTAAACTACATGCAATAAGGAAGCCTGAAGTATTATTAATATTATGACACCAAAGTTGATTAGTAAAGTGTAATAGTTATCTTCATCAAATAAAATGAAAAATAAAACATTATTTGATCTAGGTTAATGATTACTAAAAGAAATATTTGATTTGTAAGTTATTTCATGATATTTTAGGACTAAACACTAGATTCTAAGCCATTATTTAATATGAGTGTCTTATCTTTATTAGTGTGCAATAGCTCTTAATAGTTTATTACTTAGTATAATTTACTTATACATAACAGGATGATGTTGTTCCTTCATAAAATTAATATCTCCTTTGTTTTATTTTTAATTAAGTATAATTTTATGTGAGTGATGTCAAAAAGTATTATTAAAAATTTGGTATACATTGAAGTAATTTCAATTAGTATACATTGAAGTAAGGGACGACTTTGTTTTATACTATGTAGTGATGCACAGCAAAGAGACATGTACAATTCATCAAAGTCACTAACTTGTTTTGCCTTCCTGGAACCCCTCCAATAACATTTAAACTTTATGGTATGGTATTGAAGTTCAAATATGGATATATATATATAGGGATTCATTTTTATATAATTATATAGATTGGTAAATGACTTGCACAATTTGATTTTTTAATTATTTTCAATCTTAATATTCTTATATTATTTGTGTTAACCAAATATTTAGTAACACTCATTATATCTTTAAAATTAAATATTTAAATATCTGTTCCATAGAACAAAAAATAACTACAGCCGATCACAAACATTCCTGACCAGTCATGGTAATAATCTATTACCTACGTTAATATGAACCATGGCTAAATATGAATGACCTGATAAGGTATATTTTTTTCTTTTGAATGAAAACATTGCCATTACTTTAGGACAACATTATCCTGTGTTGTAAGGGCTTTTTACAAACATAAATTTCATGTGTCACAAACACCCAGTTGCGAAACAACTATCTGTGGGTCACACAAATAGTTGTTTCCTGTGGATTCCCACACGAAAATATATTTGTTGAAAATTAATACCTCTCTATGTTACAGCTATTACAAAGAGTAAAGAGTCCAAAGAAAAGCTTGAGGATTTAGAAATGATGACAGCTCTAAACCGGCAACCCTCAAATCCCACCAGTGTTGTGACATTAGAACAACCTGTCGAATTTGCTGATTGTATCAGTAATCAGCATACGGCGCAAAGAAGACGACCTCACCATAACTCGCACCATTCTTTGGTATGTGTTTATTATCCTATTAAGAATGTATGTATTTAAAAACAATTAACGTTCAATATTTAACCAGTTTAAATTTCCCTACATTCTAAAATTGTCCCTTAGTATTTTTTTTATGTTATTTAAACTACACCTAATCCGTTTTCTGTTTACTTTATACGCAAATAGATATTAATAAATGTAAAGTAGTTATGAGTAAAGACAAGAATTAAAATTATGTTTTCTAAACAAATCTACTTCAAAATTCATTGCAAAAACATACTTAAGAACAAGGAGAACCAAGTTTTGTTTTTAAATCGAAAACTAATCACGTATCCGCGACCTAAATTATGAAATGATCTCACGCATGCAAACTTTGACGAATGCACATAAATGTATAGTGTTGTTGGAATTTTATTCCAGCTTCATTGATTTCAAATCAAAAAACCGGCCAAGTGCGAGTCGCACTCGTGCACGAAGGGTTCCGTACCGCTATCAATGGAAACGGTAAAAAAATCATGTCTGTTGTCTTGGAGCCCCACTTAAATATTTTTTTATTCTGTTTTGTAGTATTTTTTGTTATAGCGGCAACAGAAATACATCATCTGTGAAAATTACAACTGTCTATCGTGGTTCATGAGTTACAGCCTGGTGACAGATGGACAGGCAGACAGTAAGTCTTAGTAATAGGGTCCCGTTTTACCTTTGGGTACGGAACCCTAAATATGATGAACAAACTCGTGTACTCATCTGCCAGTACTTTTCATCCACATTGAATTGCATTCAAGTAAAACCTGAACTCGCTCAGTGCTCTATTAAAGAAATTATCGGTGTTCGTTGCCAACTATTATACCGAAGATTTTAAATTCATCTAGTGGTCACCCTTTTGTCGACTATATCTTAATTTTAATTGTATTTTTTCTTATTATAAATATTCGTTAATAAAAATAGTAAAATGTCCGTGTCTCTACCGTAATCATTTTATTCGTATGTTATCAATACTGAACTGTTTTCTCTATAATTATAATACCTACTGATAATTTTAAGTGACACGGCCTTGGATTGGTTTGCAATTTTTTTAATTGCATCGTATACAGCCAGTTGCATGTATGTCTGTAGACTTTTTGTGATGATTTGGTAATTTTTTATACTCCTTTTTTGTAACTCCCGTATTTTTTGTCTGCAATTTATATTTCGTTTAGATTATGATGCAGTGAAATAGGATTGTTGGAACGATTAATTTAATCCGCTTGTATGATAATGTTTGCACAGGTAAATAGACAAATAGAGTGTTTAATTTTAATGTTTGTTGCATAAATAATTCATAATTATTCAAAATCGTTCCACTATTCATGCTCTAACGCATTATTTCTAAGAATAATTCGTATTACAAATTATGGAACATCACATAATTGAAGTTTGTACAAGTTAATTTTAGCACATACCAAATATTAGCAAGTATATTGCCTCCGCGGTCATCAATACATTTTTATACAAAGCGAACATAAATGATTATTTAATAATGTTTAGTCGAAAGTGGTTACTCAATTACCGTATCGGCTGACATTAAATTGCAAACTGCATGTCAAGCATTGTCACCGTCTAAATGCAATTCGACACGTGTCGTGTAATTATGTTTTTGTAATCGATTACAATAATGAATAGGTTTCAGTAGTACGGTTATATAACTCTATTATTAATCCTGGGCTAAGCGACCAAGCGATTCTCTGTTGGTTAGTTAAGGGGGTGCTCTTTCTAATTTAATGGAGACAGTCCACGACTGATCATCAGCGTTTAGGGCTCGGATTATGTAATCTGGTGTTTTATAACATCATAGCAATAGTCTTAATATTATTTCTATCGTGTTAATTAACCGATTTCAAAAAAGGTGGAGGTTCTCAATTCGTCGGAATATTTGTCCAGCGATTACTCGAAGACGCCTGAACTGATTTGGAAAATTCTTTTTTAAATTTCAAAGGGTACACTTCCCAGGTATTCCATTTAAATTTATCGAAATCGGTCGAGCGGTTATTAAAAAAATAAACAATAAGTTATAAAAAGTCCTTTTGCATAGTTTTAAGAGTTTAGTTCAGCTCCCATGTGGTTCCATATTAATTTCGGAATAATTCAATTATTCAACGAATAATAATTTCATTGGACCTTGGACTTCTCATATACGTCACGGAACTCCTCAAAGTTTAATATAAATAGTATAGTGAGTGACATATTTGAATTTTTGTTTGTTTAACTTGTCACCCAAAGAGAAATTTCAACACGTATATTGTACAGCTGTCTAGGGTTTATGTGAGTCCATAGGTCATCATGCTTTTGCCCCTGTTTTAATGAATATTACCTCTAGGTTTTCAATTTCAAGCGTCATTTTAAGAGCTCAAGTTCAATTTATTGACGGACCATTAGAATGGCACATTGTGCTAATATCTCTTACGTGTGTAAAATAACTAGTTTAACGACAAACCAATAAATCGGATTAACGTGGTTCGAGCGTCTTGAGTAGGTGAATGCGGAAATATTCAAGAATTAAGTCAATGTTACGGAAGTGGACGGTAGTGGATGCCCTTGGCGATGTCCACCTGAGTTGGTGACGCTCTAGAGGCAGTGACCTGTCCGTGAGCGGGCTAGGCGTTTGGCGGAACTGCGTAAAATGGAAAATTTTGTCCTATGATTCTTGTTATAGCAACTCTACTCATTGCCGTATGTATAACACCGGCGCGATCGGTGCGTCCTTGCCTGCGTAGTTCTTTTCGAAAGTTGATTTTCAATTTAAAAAAAAATAGCTTTGTCGCGACAAATGTAACCTACGCGTCTATTGAAGATACGATAGCTCATATGCTAGGCGCTCGCTTTTAATCCATACTAATATTATAAATGCGAAAGTAACTCTGTCCGTCTGTCTCGCTTTCACGCCAAAACTACTGAACCGATTTAAATGAAATTTGGTACACAGATAGTCCAGAGCCTGAGAAAGGCTTTTTTATAAATGGAATTTCTTTTAAAGAAATAAACTTATTTAAGCGCTTAAACGCAAGCGAAGCCGCGGGCGAAAAGCTAGTTTAATATACTCGAATACAACCGTGCCGGCATCAACGAAATTGAAATGTGACCGTGACAATGAAATTGTTAGTTTTAAATGCTGAATTATCCGTACAGGAAGGCCTTTACCCAGCATTGCGACAAATATAAGCTGTTACTTAGGCGTCCATTGAAAATATAACCTATGAAATGCCCTGCCGATGCTTCGCACGTGTATGGCAATCTACGACACGTCGAATGTCCAATCTTATCACAATTATCCGAAAGTAAACACTGAATACATCGATAAAGTACCTCTGCATTTTTTTACTATAGTCTTTCAAGACGTTGTCTTATCCGACGGTTGGACAGCGACCGCCGAGAACGTGAACGTGGCTCTTTTCTCCTCCTCTTTAGGGTTGTGTATCCAAAGGGTAAAACGGGACTCTAAAAGAGAAGGAGATAAGAGTTAAGTTCCTTTATTACTAAGACTCCGCTGCCTGTCCGTTTCTATTCGTCCGTCTGTCTGTCTGTCACCAGACTGTATCTCAAGAACCTTGATTGTTGGACAGTTGAAGTTTTCACAGATGATGTATATCTGTTGCCGCTATAACAAGAAATATTAAAAAATAGAATAAAAAAAATATTTAAGCGGGGCGGGCGCCCATACGACAGACATGATGTTTTTGTCGTTTTCATAGATAATCGTACGGAACCCTTCGTGCGCGAGTCCGACTCGCACTTGGCCGGTTTTTTTATGTAAGAAGTAGGCAAGCAAGCTGGTGGTTCACCTGATGTTAAGTGATGACTGCCCGGTCACCTCACTCACCAGACGAAACGTAGAAGTATGACACTTCCACTCAACAGCTGTCTTCTGTGTGGTACTTCCCCGGACGGACTTGCCCATACAACGAACAGCGAATAAATGATCACTTTTATTTAAACAAAAGTCATTCTTATGTTTATGTACCTCTTAATTGTTGGAATTACACCGATTACAAATTAACTCTCAAACTACTGGCAAACAGATAAATCTTATCCGTTTATAATATTGGTATTGATTTACATTCCCGAGTAAAGCTAGAATACACTCACACAAACTATTGCCATTAAAATATTAGCGCGGTTTAAGACTATTGTCTGATCATCAACATCATCAAATATATTAATTTATATATTATATTAATTTGTATATTATATTAATTTATATATTATATTAATTTATATTCTCCTTACTTGTCCTTACTTGTTGCTATGAAAGCTTTATTTTATTTAAAAAAGATAACTTCACGTGATAAATAGTGTATTGCTTATTAATCAAACGTGTAATTTGTTTACATTTTATATTAAAAAAAATCTCCTGCACTATAAAACATATAAATTTAATACAGTGTCGTGCAAGGTTCCAGAAACAACATAACAGCATAAAAGTAAACACCATTATAGATCATGAACATTTTTGTCCCTTAACATTTAATAAATTTATAAGAACACCTAATTCATACAATAATACCAAATCCAAATTATTAGGTGACCTTTATTCTATTACCATATAAGCTTGAAGCTATAAAGAGCCTTGCAGTTTGTTGGTTGAAAACCAAACCACAAGCCTAATGCGGCATTGTTAAAGTGTTATTTTGGCACTCAGCCTAAAAAGTTTCTTAGACGCTAATTAACCTTAAGCAGGCAGAAACACTGAGTCTTTATGCAATTTATTACATATAAAACGATAAGAAATAATGAATCCATTGACCGTCACTGTTCCAATATTATACCAACATACAATGTCTCGCTGTTTTCACATTTATACTGCTGTACAAACTTTGCTTCGAATTTGTACATCTTTAGCCGAGCTACGTTTCTTTTATATTTGCCTTCATTATATTATATTTTTTACAAATATTTTCGTTATACGTAATACCGCTTTGTTTTTAAAAAGATTTCGAGTTATTGATTGCTTAATTAATCTATAAATTTCCACGTCATTGAGTTAGTTAACTAGCGTGTGACAGATTGAGCAAGTGGAATCATAAAGCTTTTCCCTCACTTGTCAATTTCTATAAACTCACCCATTAGGTCACTTCGAATAATGAGTTGCTGAGTTATATGGGTTGCTTAACGCTAACACATAAACTGATAGTTTTTTATAAGAATCGGTACTTTTTTCTTTTATTACATATTATAAAAGTTGGCAAATGAGCAGGCGGTTCACCTGACGTCTGTGGACATCTATAACACCTGACGGGTTGCAAATGCGTTGCCAACATTACAAAAAGTGGACCCCGGCTTACTCACTCACTAGACGAAACGCGAAAGAATGCTTTATTCGTTTTCATTCCACTTCACGCTGAACTTCTGTGAGGCCGTGGTAATTCCCCGTATGAGCCTGCCCATTTGTACAGCAACCGAAATTGCTGCGCGGCCCTACCACAGCGTTACGTTTAGGTTTCGCGAAGAACATACCTCTCGACCAATATTCCGCGGAGTTACAAATATCAAAGACAACAAAGACAGAAAATAACAAAGACTCGTACGTTATGGCCAAAATACACTTTGGATATGCTTGCACCAAGTTGTGGTCAGGCACGGTGTATGGGAGTATCGTTCTTGGGCAGATATTGGACAAGAACGTGACCCTGCGTCCAATAGCAACCAATAGCAAACGTTCAACCCGCGCTGGATTTGTTGTACATTGACAAAGGCAAGGGAATAAGGGGAATAGAAGGGCGGGTAGGTGGCCCTACCAACTGTGGAGGGCCTCAAACCCGTGGGTTCTGGCTAGCCCACCGTTTTTGCGTTCGACGAATTAATAGTCTAACGCTTTAATAGTCTCGGGACTGAAAGCGTTGACATCAGTTAAAAAAAAAGACGGTCGGCGGCGGGCATCTTCAGTCCAACGTCGGATATTGAAGTTAATGTTTGGCCGCATGCCGTGGTCAAAATTTATTGGCCATCCATTTCGTAGGCAAGCTTGGATCCAAGTCATGAGCCAATACGTGGCGTCGGCTTTACAGAAGGGCGGCGATGGTGACGTGGACGAGAGGCGGGACAGCGTAGCGCGCGCGCTGGAGGCACGCCAGTCGCAGTGGAAGCGGATCATGCTGCTGGTGGTCGCCATCACCGTCCACAACATCCCCGAGGGCCTGGCGGTGGGCGTGTCCTTCGGCGCCGCCGCCACCTCCTCCGAGGCCTCGTTCCAGAGCGCTCGGTGAGCATACAACGCTTACAACCGAAAGTATTTCGACGGATTCATCGCGTTCCTTTTTAATTTGAATCTACGACGTTTCACACGCTATAGCACATGTCACGGGACACATTGCCCGTGACATAGTTACATTTAGTAGTGTGTATTATTCGCGTGAATATAAGAAATTGTACGCAGATGTGTTAACCTACTTTCTAATAATCTTCTAATACTAGAAATTTAGCCTAATCTAGTCTCTCTCTTCTTCCTTTCGAAGATCTAGACACTTGACTACTGTTGTTTATATTTTCCGCAATCGCTATTCGAAGCCATCTTCCCGTTTATATATTATAGCTTTTCGCCCGCGGCTTCGTTCGCGTTGAAGCCCTTAAATAAATATCTTTCAATCCTTTACAACACTTTTTTAAATTTAAAAATTGCCTTGTCCTTTCACAGGCTCTAGACTATCTGTGTACCAAATTTTATTCAAAAGGGTTCAGTAGTTTTAGAGTGAAAGCGAGACAGACAGACAGAGTTACTTTCGCATTTATTATATTATAATGGATAGAACTTTACACAGTTCAAAGCTTGTGCTAGCCCCACAATGGTGGAATAAGAGGAGAAAAAGAAGAAGCACGCAAAACGCACTTGCTGTGTAAGTTAAGTAATTTAATTGGCAGCTTGAATACAATGTTCTCGTCAGTCATACAATGTTCCTTATCTATATCGTAGATTTACATTTCGTGCAATGAAATCTTTTACGGGTTTTGTATTTGCGTTCATGAATGTTAAGCTATCAATGCGATGTAGTAAAAGCATTAGGTACGTGATTCGATAAGAGTTGAACAGATTATGTACGCGCTACTAGATCGCTTAGTTAGACGATTATATTTTGGATGTCTGAATTCGGCTCCAATAATTAAATTTAGATGCAGACGAGCATCATAATTACCACTATCCTTTGTTGATTTATTTCTTTGTTTAATTAACCTCTGTACAGAGACGTGTAATTGGTAAGCGTGCAGTTCTGCATTGTTCTTTTTCAAAAACCGTCAGTCTTTAGCGTTAACGAATAATAACAAAAATGTAAAGGTCACATCTTTAACTTTTGTAAACAACTGCGTTCTTTAACAGACTATGCAATTTATATTGCACTGCATTGTTGTAACAAGTTTACCTGCTTCGTTATTTCCTTTTGTATAAATTTTTATGTTGATTATTGCATGTTGACAATATCTTTCATGAACAAAATTTTTTATACGTGCACATCGACAACAATTAACTATGAATTCATGATTACTATTAAATCAATAACTTAAAACCAAAATATTTTATATGAATATAATATTATATCATAAATACTTTATGCATATTATATAATAAATATTCACTTGAATAGTATATAGGTACTAGTAAGCATATACATACATATTCTCATATACGTACCCATATAATAATACATACAAATATTTTACATATAAACTTCTGAGGAAAGGGAATATAAAAAATAAATAAAGAAAAGATTGAAACAACAAACACGATTATACCTACATTAATCTTAAAGTTTTTACAAAAAAGGAAAACAAACAATATTTTTTTCTCGTTACGAATCCCAGAATGAATGATTCAACCATATTTATTTTAAACATCACCTTAGTGCTCAGATAATGCAGATCTTAACTGACCTCTTTCCTTATATTTTTTCGCAATCGTCTCAGCAAGTCTTCTTTATCGACTTTGCAACTTAATTTCTTTTTTTTAGATGTCAAAATCATCTCAGCGTTCCGTTTTCATTTGCAGGCACTTTTCGTCCAAGCTTCGTGTTTAGCTGTACTGTCAAATGTGCCACAAACTTTCTCGTTGATCTCTTATTTATTATGTCCTTACACGATGATATTATATACAAATACCAGGCAGATATGACACTAGCGCATCGAAACTACGCCAATTGGTGTAATTAGATTGCTATTCTACAGACTCCTATCTCTTTCCGTATCATACATTCTATATTCATATAATGTAAAGTGGAATAATTTTTAAACACCGCGCAGTATGGACATACGTTATCTTTATTAAAACATCATTAATTACATTATGAAATTAGCGTTTTGTCACATTGGCCATTTTGATCTCAAATATCTTTCTTTTTTCTCTTTGATCTCAAATATCAGTCTTTGGTTAGGAATTCCAAATTCAAATTTAAATCTCGTGTTACTTCCCGTAGCCTTAATAACAGCTACAAACTTTGTGTCAGCAAAACAGCACTGCGCCAAACGCTCGCCCAGACCCGAGCTCTCCTATCACTGCCATGCAGACACTTCATTGTCAATGCATAGGACTGATCGACATTAGTCAGCAGTACAGTGTTCGCGAGCAAGTGCAAGGCGTGTGGTCAATTTCGGGCCACTGGCGGGCCTTTTTGGAGTACGGCTCCCTTCTTTTAAATGTCCCCTTCCTGACTTTCCACTGGATGACAGATACTCCTCCTAAATGTCTCAGCTGCTGTTGGATGGCAACCCCGGTTAAATAGCGATTTCTGACTTGTCGAGGCAATGAAACGGTCGTTTCTCTCGTCTAGTTGAAAACAGTCCCTTGAAACCTATTGACTCCTGATACAACAGATTGGGTCAGGTTTAGTTGGTGAGCGACTTCGCACTGGCTAAGGTCCTGTTGCAGCAAAGCATTAACTTGAGCGGCTTCTTCCGCCACAGTATCCATAGTGTCTGCTGCAAATCGCTGATCGTAAATTTCGACTGATAAGATGCTCCGCATGCCCAATTTTTATAGTGGGTTAAAACTCCCAACTCGCGTCTACCTATTAACACAGTGCATTTTTGATACTCCATAAATGTCAGGTATTTTAAAAACGACTGGGAAGATTGTTTAATATATTACAATTTTGTGTACATGACTTTAGTCATTCATTTTTGAATAAATATAAATTTTGTCGAGTTGACTCGATTTAACTGCTCGTTACTGTTTAATACTCAATCGCACTCATCACAACGGGTCGTGGATATAAATATCAACGACTCGTTTTGGCTGAGAGAGTTTGTTGTTTTTATTTTAAGCTACAAATACATAAATGAATAAATTGCATTCTGCGCAATGACGATGAATTAGTTTTGCATTCTATAGTGGTACTGTCCACGGATCTGAATGCATGGGATTAAATGTATAAAAAATCACTACTCGTTTTGCATACAAAAGAGTCTTATTACGTTTCTTGGCATTAACATTATAAAGCGTACCTTAATAGCGAAGAAAATTTCCCAAACTCGAGCATCCCACCATTTTATTGAAAAGTGCGGAGATGTGAGAAGGTGAATATTGAATATTTTTAATTTAATTTTAATTTTTGTAAATTTTCCCACAAAACCAATGGCTTATAATTTTGACTGTGGTGGATCAAACTGCCTATAGACTCTCTAATTCATTCTTGCGGTCTTGTCTAAGTTATTCTTGACTCAACGAAAACGATTATCCCTTGGTTTAGTATTGCTTTCTTCCAGCACCAGGTCTTCTCTCGACTTCTCCAGGCCCCTCTTGATTACATCCTTTGGATTGTGGAACGATATTATTGACTCATATTTGGCCCCAGAGTCAAGAAGCATTCGTTGCAACACTCCTTAGGAAGCGCAGTCGTTTTGCTGACTTTTATGACTTCACCTACCATTTTGAGACCGCTGAAAATCATTAATAATACTTTAAAAATTAGAAAATTCTATGAAAATTGGTATTCATACGTCGGTAGAACCTAGGTAACCGTATTAACTCAGATTAGTAACCTGAAGACAATGTGCCGGCAATAGCTCTTAGAACCAATAACTAAAGGAGAAAGAAAGGTTCTCGAGTAGAAGACCCCCACTAGATAGAGTGACGACCTGTGCAAATACGTGGGAAGTATATGGATGCTGGTGGCTCAGGATCGAGCTTCGTGGCAGCCTGTAGAGGAGGCCCATGCCCATCAGTGAAATGATGATGATGGTTTGAATTAATTATTTCAGAAAAGTAATTTTAATACAACTGTATGGTTTATACTAATTCTTAACGGTAAAATTACATCGTTTACCTCGTAAAATCTTTTCGTCTTTTTCTTTAATCTAAGGCGTCATGATATTCAGCGTTTCATATATTTTATCTCAAACCTTTTTGTCAACAAACAAACAATGCACAAAAAGATTTTATATTCAATGGTCTGTTGCGTCTATGAAGTATGATTAAAAAAATTCATAGCCTGGAACACAATTTGGAGCAGAAAGCGGAACTTGTACCGCCTTGTCCAACTAGATGGTTGTGCCGGTAATATAAAGTCTTTACCAATATTAGGAAACTTACAAGTACAAAGTTTTCAAGTAAACAAAATTACCAGTACAAGTAAAAAGCTATATACCACTTGACTAACACAGCCTTGTGGCAGACCGGCGTGCAATTGAAATATTTATAATTTGTATTTCGTCTGAATGTATGCAGAATGTAAAGACTAGAAAGTCACACTTATTTCGGTCGCCTCTTAAAGGCCATCGCCATCGCAAAAGAGGGATTTACTTATAAAAATAAATGAAATTTCGTTTAAGTTAATTCTTTAAGATATATTAAAAAAAATAATGTAATCTAAGTTAATATTTTATGGCAAGTTTAATTCACTTTTCCACTATCAGCTAAATGTATTTTTCATAAGTTAAGTTGAGCGCCCCCTGTTGGCATAGACGAAATGTTATCTAGTCATATACTTCGCCTAGAGCCTGCCATCTAACGAGAGACATTGGTTTTATGTTGTGCTACATTTTTGTTACTGATCTATTATTGGTTTTAGAAATTCGCAAATAGAAAAATAAAGATGGCGTGCGAAAGTATTAGCCGGTAATTTCAGTAAGAGTAATATTGTTCGTAAAAACATTGTCTTTGAATGGCCCTTACATGTCGTAGTTAAACGCACGCAGGAGCACATGCGCGGTCCTACCCACAGGGGAGGGCCCAACCCGTGGGTTCTGGCCAGCCCACCGGTTCTGCGTCAGATGAAGCTTTAATAGTCTCGGGACTGAAAGCACAAACATCAGTAAAAAAATTGACTTAGAATCGATTATTTATTACGCTTAAACAGTATTATTGAAAACAATCATTTGAAAAATAGAAAAAACAAATAGAAAGAGCCATTTACCGGCAATTGTATGAAGCCAATGGGCTTTTTGTAAATAATGCTAAAGAAAATTGATTTTTAGTAAAATACATCAAGTATTACTTTCCTCTGTATTTGGGTTAGTTTTTCTGCTTCCATAACAGAGATATAATCTGGTAATTGATGCTTATCCTACCCAGAGATTTCATTGATAACTATTTGTCTAGCGGATGCATGTTGTAGTGCGTGTCGTATACAAAACAGCCTCGTCGACCTGATAACTCTCAACGAACTAATTGATTGCTCTGTACAATTATTCGTATTAATTAACGTTCACTTGCGTCAACATTATTAAAGAGCGATACGAGAATATTTCCGACTTTGCACGCATAAAATCGTCGTAACTGTCGCGCTTTACGACGCCTCACGAAGTATAAATAGCCTATATTTTATCATAGACTAGTGGCCCGCTCCGACCTCGACTAGTTGTACTTCAGTTTTTTACAACCATTTCCTCAAGTAGATTTATTGTTGACTATCACCCATAATTTTTATTGTGTATCATAATATATTACATGGTCTACCAGGAACAATTAAAGGTGAAAGAATCTTCGTAATAAGTGCACTAAGGCACGCTCCGCATGCACACAGATTTACAAAAGTCAAACTCTATCTTAATAATGTTAGTATAGATATAAAAATTTCGGTGAAAATTGCTACGTCTCGTCTCATCTCAGGTTTGGCATAGGTGAGCAATTACACGCCTACTTCGTCTGCGGTGTTTTATGACGCGACCGTTGCGCGATACGGATATAGCGCGCCCGATTTCGAGATTATTGCGCTTTATGATGGACGATTTTTCGCGCATTCCACTGTTATGTTCGTATCCTATAACACTTTAGTGTCTGTTACGAACCGGCGGTTTTTTCGGTCCGCACGCCTGTTAGCGGAATGCGTCTTTTACCGGCACATTAGAGCGACCGTTGTCTTATCGACACCAGTATCGATGCCGGCAACTTGTGAATTACACGAAGCGCTCAATTATAGAAATATCATTAAGTGATGCAGTAGGTGAGGAAGTACGGTAGTTGAGAAGGGGGCACGGTAGACGGCGGGATGTCGGTCGAAACCGCTCGTCAACGTATCGTCTGGGACGTTTCATTTGTATGTGGCGGCGGCGAGCGCGGCCGAATCGCGTGGCGGCCGCGCGGGGTTCATCGACCCGCGCGCGACGGAGACGTTGCCGTCACCGCTCGGTGAAACTATTTCACTGAAAAATCCGCCGGCGCGCCATACCGTTGGGCGTCAACCTTGACGGCTTGTCGCGTCGTCTGCACCGCCGCGTGGGCGCCCCCGACGGCACCCGTACATAACCGTTAACTTCGCTATCTCCGTTCGCGAATACGGCAAATATATGCCAATCGGCGACATAACAATAAGCTCGGTCAGCCCGGTCGAGCTGAAAACGTACTTATCCGAACGCTGAATACTTATGTGTCCAATTGCGTTTAGCAAATAACTTGTACAGCTAATTGCTGGCCAATCATAAACGCAATCGCTCAGCGCTCCTTATAATGGGAACGATAAATTGTATTAAACGTAATCAACGCCAAATAGAATCCTCGCCAGACCGAACTGTTTCCAATTATAGAAAATGGTAGCGAGGTTCTGTTATAGCATTAAGGAAGACCAAATGTCTGCATCGGATGACGGCCATTGGACTGGTAAAAAATTACCTTACGAATTGTGGGCGGGGTCGGATAATAAATGAGCCATAAATCTTACTTATACAAAGGCGACCAGTGTGCTTGTCTACCTAAATATTAACCACATAATGAAATAAAATCATACGCGAATGCAATGTAAATATATGCCGTAGTAAATACGTATCGTATAATTATTAAACTAAAAGTAGATATGATGATTGTGCTTGAATTTCTTTTTAATTATAATCTCGATAATGTTTCCACTTCATGAAAAAGAGCACCTGTAATACTTTATCATATATTCTTAGAGCCGTGATAGCTCAGTGTCCGGTCGCTCGCCTTTAATTCAATATACTCGAGCAACCTGAGTTCGATCCCCGGTGCCGGCACCAATGAAGTTTTTAACTTTAAGTGCTGACTTGTCACGTGCTCCGCGGTGAAGGAAAACATCGTGAGGAAACCTGCATATTTTCGAAATAATAACAAAAAAAAATATTTCGAAGATATGTGAAGTCCGCCAATCCGCAGTGGGGCCGCGTGGTGGACTATGCCCTGATACCCTCTGTATAGAGGAGGCCTTTGCCCAGCAGTGGGACATGTATAGGCTGTTACTTTACTTTACTACTTTTATATTCTTATGTATATGAGAGCTGCAATAAAATCCCGCAAAGCCCGCTGCAAAGAAACCCGTGGGTTATGGCTAGCCCACAGGTTCTGCGTCAGTATGAAGCTTTAATAGTCTCGGGACTGAAAGCAAAAACATCATTTAATACAAGATACAAGAATAACTAATTGATCCGTGCGAAATTGTCGCAGAGTACCGTGTTCAGTTACAAAACGGCAATGTTATATGTAAATAAGTATTTATCTATGAAAGTTATCTTAATTTGAAGAATAACATTTTTCAGTCTACAGAACTAACTAAAGATAGCGTTTTTTTCTTTTAAACAAACTGTCAGTAGATGGCATTATCATTCATAGGAAATTTTTAAACGAAAGTTCAAAATTGCCTAGTTTTCTAGATCGTCGTAACGCATACTTTTTGTCAATGGCCTTAATATATAATATTGGCCTTATATAAGCGTTAAAATGGCGTTTGATTCATTTTGATAAATAATTGGAAGGTGGATGGAAGTTATTGAAAATTTTATACAGGCCATCGCAGATAGCCAACCCCCCACTAGATGAAGTACGACCTGAGCGAAATGTGCGGGAACTCGATGGATGCAGGTGACTCAGGATCGTGCTTCGTGGCAGTCTGTGAGCGAGGCCTATATTCAGCAGTGGACTCCAACAGATTGAAATGATGATAATGACTCAAAATAGGGAAACGCAGTCCCTATACTCGGTGACAGTCGTGGGGCTTGAATGTCTTTATATTTTTATTTATTTAAGGATTTTTTTGCACATTGGTGGGTATCTATCCCAAACTAAGCAAAACTTTTACTATGGTTACTAGGTAACCGCTAAACAAACTCAAACATGCATTTTCTGTATATTTTGTTTTAAAATAAAAATAAATAAATAAATAAATGTTGTGAATATATAAACACCCAGACTACAAAATGGAGAAACTACGCCTTCCAGTGTAAGAGATAGGTTCGTCACTAAACACTAATAATCGGATATCTATTACACTGTAAATTTTATCCTTTTTACAAGCTTTTATTTAGTTTCACCTGCCCCGATGTTTGCCAACAAATCTTTAAAATTATAATTAAATCCACTACCCGGTTACCGAATGGGCTGAAATTTTGCAAACATGTGTAAATCGCGTGACAATGATACGACAAATATTACGATGACATGGTGCTGATTTGATGATGGAGCTGGTAGGTGGCCAATGGAACTTCGCAAAGTACATGCTTTCATTCGCAAAGAACATAATAAAAGCTTATTTTTAAAAGGTTTTTTTTTCTTTTAATTTTATTACGTATTATTTATCTAGGTGGGTAAGAGCGAATAGGCTTTTAATGAGCTACTTACGTTTACCAGCGAAGATTACACCGGCGACCATCTGGTGGGGTAGTTGTGAAGCACGAGGTTTATGTTTAAATAACATTTCAGTTCCGAACCGACGTGAAGCTGTTAATCTGACGTCCAATAACAAGTTTTGATAAGTAAATGGACACAGATTATATGAATACCTCATTTTATCGTCCTCATCTCCTTGCTAAGAACATGGTAATCACGTTGTGAAAGAGAGTCTTGGGCATTTTAGCATGTTTCTTTTATCACACGTAATAATACCCAGTGTTGATATCACATTAACTCCAAAGGGCAGCCAATGTGTTTATAATTAATCGACGATGTTTCTATATTAATGACTTCGTCCAATAAATTTCAAACTCCCGAGCCCGTTCGTAGCTCGCGTCCCAACTTTTCGCGTCTACGCCACTTACCTATATATCACTACGACCAACTTCCGAACAACTTCAAAAGATCAGGCTATCACCATATATAGCGTGTCGTTACCATCGCGACAATAAATGAACACACATACACTTTATAAAGTTGTATTAAACATTTGAATTCCTTAAACATCAATATTTACAGAGTTATTAAATTTTCCAAAACAAAGAATTTTAGAACACCCTTACCTATAAAAGCGTAACGTAAAGTTCATTTGTAAAGGTCACAAATCATATGAATGGGTTGAATGAATTTAAAAGAGACAAAACATACTGTTAGAAGGAGAGGCTTGTAATACGACGCTGTGCGCGAGTTGTATAGGATGTTACAAATATTGTTTCTTTTTTACTTAATTAGTTTGTTTGAAAAATATTTTTTTTAAATTATGGATTTTGTTTAACGTTAATATTTTTATGATTATTGGCAAGTAGCGATAGACGTGTGTTCATTTATTGTCGCGATGGTAACGACACGCTGTATACATTCAAGAGTATTGACGACCCGAATAGCGTAGTGGCTACTGTACCTGCCTCATGCGCCAGAGGGTGTGGGTTCGATCCCCACTACTGGAAAAATATTGTGTGATGAACATAGTGTTTTTCTAGTGTCTGGGTGTTTATATATGTATAATAGCGACCCTCCCCGACTTCGCACGGGTTCAATGTATTATACATATGAACCTTCCTCTTGAATCACTCTATCTAGTAAAAAAACCGCATCAAGATCCGTTGTGTAGTTTTAAATATCTAAGCATACATAGGGACAGACAGACAGCGGGACGACTTTGTTTTATACTATGATGCACAGCAAAGAGACGTTTACATTTCAAGTGACATTTTACCACAGTCATTCACTTGTTTTGTCTTCCCGGAACCCCTCCACTAACACTTAAACTTTATGGTATGGTATTAAAGTTCAAATTGACTTTTAAGTATTATTACGAATATTTTGTACTACGGGATTATAGAAAAGTGTTGTTTTTAGACTTTTTCAGGAATGAAATGAAACTGAATTCATGACGCTGCTAACTAGCGTGATCCAGTTTTTCTAACGTACGTATCATATACAACTTGTTTGCCCCGTTGTTGAAGCAGTGGAGCTATTACTATTGAATTAATGGGCAGGCTCGTCCGAGGAAATAATGCCGCGAAAAGGTAGCGGAGGCACAAGTATTTATAGAGCCGAATTCACGACCCTCGGTGCCAAAGCAGAAGGTTCGATTCCCAAACAAGTAAAAAGTATTTAAATAAAACCGGCGAAGTGCTAGTTGGACTCGCGCACGAAGCGTTTCGTATATCGTTTCTATAAAAACGGCAAAAATATCATGTCTGTTGTATGGGAGCCTCATTTAATAATTTTTTATTCTGTTTTTTAGTATTTGTTTTTGTAACGGCAACAGAAATACATCATCTGTGAAAATTTGATCTGTCTAACTATCACGGTTCACGAGATACAGCCTCGTGACAGACAGACAGACAGCGGTGTCTTAGTGATAGGGTCCCGTTTTACCCTTTGGGTATGGAAACCTAAAAAATTAAGTTCAAAAACTAATTTATACAAGTATAATATCTTGTTATCATAAACAGTCTTAATTCTTTCGCAAATATTACCCTTTCATTGGCTCATGTCAGGTTGGTAAAGTAATGGAAGTAAGCTTCCTATTATTTTTTTAATAATTATCTAAATGCTTAGTTATTGCCTCTATTTTTGGAGCACAATATTTGCATATACTACTTACGTCTTTATAGACAGAATCTTTTAACCACTTTTTCTTTATTCATAAAATTACAGTTATTTTTCAAAAGTAAAAATTTTGCTGACCTGAGTAGCCAGATTTTCACAGTTCACAAAAGATGACATAACTGTCAAGCAGTTATGTCAGGTTCTCTGCACACGAAGATACCATGTTAAGGGCTAATTTAATTTGAAGGTCTAATCACAAGTAACATAGTATGATTTAATCTGGGGCCATTTATTCCGCGTGGTGGTTTGAAAGTAAAAAAAAAAGGTTTTTTCGAAGCGTTCCGCCCCCTATTTTATATTAGCCATTTAATTCCTGTCTCAGAGGAGCGTGGAGAACGATTAATTTCAGCCTCTCGACGGTGCGCTTATCGAGTGATTGCCGCGAAAGTCATTTTTATGCCCAGCCCTGTTATTTGATACTGTGCTCCCCGATTCTCGGTACGAGATAAGTGAAACGGTACAGCGTATACCTGGCCGGGGCGTCGGCGGGCGAGCGAAGGCCGGGGGAGGGGTGGCGCCCGGGCATAATGGGAGTCGGCGGGCGCTTTGTTATTATGCAGATTAACACCGCCGGGAATTTGTTCAAATATCGTAACAAGCGCTGCTCGCGGCGCCGGCGCCGTCTCACGTAATTTACGATACGGGGCCACGGGAATGCGCCCGCGTCGGCCGCTTCCACGGATTTTGTTTGACGCGCCTCCGTCGATTCCGTGTAGCGCCCGCCTTGGACGCGGTCGCGGTCCCGCTCTGTTATTCGCGCCGTTGTCGCTTTTTTTTAATTTCACGCGGTAAAACGATGCGCCCTGTTAGACATTTTTGAGCCGGGAACGGGCCGGACTGAATCCGACCACATTCTTGGCGTCTATTCAATTGCATATAAAGAGTTTGCTCGGGTTGCACAATAGCCGAGTGAATTTTATTTTTAAATGTTACTCAGCGAATTTGTGGAACTCATCTGATTATCTATTGAAGTGATATTAACATATAACGGCATATTAACATACTTCTGAGGTTTTTAGTTAAATTATTGATAATATATTAATTAAAAATATTTTTGTTTTTAGAACCTTGTGTTATCATTGAATAATTATTTCTTTAGTTTAATGGTAGACGGTTATCCAGTGTTTTTATTTAAATAATAATTTATAAAATTTTGCGAAAGTAAAAATAACATTACAGATTATTGACAAAAAGTATTTTTTTTAAACATTATGTTTTAATTTCGTAAACGCGAAATATTTTATGTGCATTGCGGTAAATTAACTATATGTATATATATTTAAATTCTCTACGCACATGAACAATGAGAACACGAAAACTTTGACACTGGCAGAAAGTTTACGACCGTTGTTGCCATTACTGCTACAAAAAAAAGCGTGGTTGCAGAGCGCCCGCGGAGGAACAAGGGAGCGAGGAGGGGGGGGGGGGGGGGGGCGTCCGGCCGCATTCCTTCGGAGCCTCCGACCCTCCGCCCTCGCCGGACTTTCTGCCGCTTTCCCATCACCACGGAATGCCACCCGAGCACTATATACGCTAAACGAATGATGCAACAGTGAAATTCACCATTTCCCTTACGAACGAATCGCGACGCGGTTTGTATTTATAATTTCTTGACGGCTTTTAACTGTTAAACTCAGAATCTGCACTTATTCCGGGATGATAAAGTTTATAATTAGGCAGTCGCAAACAATTGCTAAATAGCGATGCAGAACATGACAATATTAAATTGACTGTAACTCTTTGGTAATTTAATCCCGGCTGGTCCTGACCGGTCATCAAAGAGTTCCCGTCGCGGAGGTCAAATAACCGCGGTGACAGACAGGTCACGCGGAAACTTCGCGCAGGATATGGATGGCAATAATATGTAGGTATGCAATGATAATGACAGAGTATATGGACTGCGCAATTACTCAGTACGTCGCCTTTATTGATTCAAGAGCATCAGAACCGTATCGTTTGCTGCCTTTTAAATGTACGGGCGGAATTCATGTATTTTAGTAATGTATATAAGAGGACTCGAATATTATATACTTAATTATTGATTATTACGAGAGTTATTATCGTGCGGCGCTTTTACTCTCGTTAAATGCCAATCACCTCGTTAATGTAAACAGGAAATGAATAATTATGTTTACTTCGATTGCGACTCCCCAACTTTTATTTCAAGCAATAACATACGCAATGAGTTGAAAGTCTTCCACGACCGGTTCTGATCATCAAGTCGAGATTAAAATCTTTATAGCTTAATGCTAAGAAACTTTATAAATAAACAAATTGAAAACTTTTAGTATTATGTCAGTGTGGATGATATGAAAAACAAATTATTTTCGTCCATTGGTAGGATTACCCTATGGCAATGTATTTAAAAATTCGTTTTTTCGTCGGGAGATCATGCAAATACAATATTATATCGTAGAAAGGTCGAAGCAATAGCCCGCGAATAATAAATTTCGCTTAGTCAGATGCGGCTGGTTCGCTCCGCGCGCTGCACTTGTTTTTACGCACGCGCGCGCCGTGTGGTGCATGACCCCATCGGAATGTACCACGTGCACTAGCCGACGGAATGCGCAACTGTTTACTCTTTACTCTTTTCTTTTTTTCTACTTCTCTCTTTCACCAGCGCCACCACAAACAATACGTCCGCCATACAATTTTTATAACGAATGCCTTTTCCAAAGCGATACTTTCTAAAACGCTCGCCGGGCGTATTGACAATTTTTCCGCTTAGCTTCGGTGATTGCGTCGATGTGGTGTTTTTTATTTTTTATTTTGAAGGCCCGTTGGAGATTAATTGCAGAACATTGGTCGTCAGAATTTCGGTTGTTTGCAGTTGGAAGTAGAATATGATGGTATTGATTTCGGCCTTTTATAAAAATGTAATGGGTACTACGATTTTATTGACAAATTATTTTTAATACAAATTATTTAAATCAAACTGCTAAGCTGTACTAATATGAATATTATATTTTCAAATTTTAAAGGCTACCATGGTAATATGACTACTGGAAACATCCAGTGCGATGATGAACTATAGTTCGTAGTCATCGTAATAAAATTCTTATACGAAATACCTATTCGTACTAATAGGTAGGAACGTCGAGCGGGAGATTGCGCGAGCTCGTTACACGCGTGGCTCGAACGGCACAGGCCGCGCGCGGTCGACGTCCCGCTCCCGAAATAGAGATGTACAACCGACTGAGCGGTCGTAAAGCGAAGGACTAGGCGGAAGTAAGCGATGCGGCGCCGGAAAACGCGTTTCCGGAAGATGCTCCCGCGCGGTGCCGCTCCATTCGCGCCTTTACTGCTTCCTGCGCGCTAGCGCCGGCCCGCCGGAAGCGACGCCCACTTTGGCGTCTGCGATGGCGGTTCAGCGCACTATTGAGTGCACCCTGGACCGCGCAGCTTTAGGAGACGGGCGTATTCGCTATGTTAGATATAAGGCGGCGCTTTCGCCACTTAATTCGCTGTGGCAAAAGTCGACCATCTTGGCTGATCACCGCCGCGATCAAAGTCAAAGTCAATTACTTTATTCAATATAGGCTTATTTATTTAAGCTCTTTTTGAACGCTAAATTTACCACCGGTTCACTAAGCTAGAACTATCCAGAGAAGCACCGACAAGAAACTCTGCGGTCACCTGATGTTGGGTGAATACCGCCGTCCATGAACATTCGCTTCACCTGAGGGTTGCAGATACGTTGACAGCCTTTTGAAAATTGGGCTCCGGCTACCTCACTCACAGACGAAACGCGAAAGTATTTATTATACTTCCCCTTTACGCCGGTCTTCTGTCAGGTCGTGGTACTTACCCGAACGAGCCTGCTCATTCGTGCAACAGCCGAGGCTGCTGCGTGGCTGCTGGTGCGGCTTATCACCCGTAGGATTATCAGAATAAATTAATAATATTGTTATAGTTTTTACGTATAATTAAAAAAAATATTAGCATTTTGCAGTCTTGCTCTAACATTAACTATATATATATATATATAAACTATCTATATGTAAACTACAGGGTGATTTTTTAGACGAATTACGTACTTTTACATAATGTTAATTGAGTATTCTATAATTTAAAAAAAATGTTAATATTTTGTTTTGACAGGAAATAATCAGAAAAATATCAATTCAAACATTGTTTGTTTATCCCGTTAAGAGTGGTCACCCTATTGTTTTGTAATTATGCGTTCAGCGAAAAGTTTTAGTGCTCGTCAATAGGTTATTGTAATGAAACGGTAAGGCAGGAATTTCTTAAGGTGTCCATAATGTTTGAAAAAATAAAAATAATCTTTGAAAAAAAATGAATTAAATTCTGTATAAGCTGTGTTAACATGTCCGTCGTCTATAAAATCACCCTGAATAAGTGTGGAAAATTTCATACTCCTCCGCCCGTACAATGTTCGTAAAAAGAGGGTACAAAGGTACAAAGTTTTAGCTTCACGTATCAATTTAAGATAACCATTGACACCATAATTCAAACAATAGACCGTGAGCTATATCATTTCAGCATCGAACAAGTACTCAAAGAGCCTGGCTATAACGATTAGGATGACTATGTCGCGGCTCAGCCCACCCGCGTCCTTACTTTCGCGAACGTCAACGGTAATCGCTTCGGTCGACTGCAATTATGTCGCGGGAGTTAACTACGTCAACTGCGCATACCAGCGTCACCGATTGTTGTACCCGCGTCACGGCTAATTGCCGCTCAACTGACGTAGGCCTCCTGAAAATAGCTGTGAGTGCATCCGTTAATTGGCCTAATTGATGTCGCGTTGTTTTCGATTATTCCTCCAGCTATGAAGGGAGTAGTTTCGTAAAAAAACCGGCCAAGTGAGAGTGGTGGGAGCCCCCCCCCCCCTAAATATTTTTTTATATTCCGTTCTTTTAGTATTTGTTGTTATAGCGGCAACAGAAGTTTTTAACTAGGTAACGGTAATTGAGATACAGCCTGGTCACAGACAGACAGACAGACAGCGTAGTCTTAGTAAAAGTCCAGTTTTACCCTTTGGGTACGGAACCCTAAAAAGGTAATTTTGACATTGAATGAATTGTCAAACTTTCATCGAGTAATTCGAGCAATCCGAGTTCGATTGCCGGTCTTGGCTCCAATGAAATTGATAATTTTAAATGCTGACTTATCACGTGCTCAGCGGTGAAGGAAACATAGTGAGGAAACCACACTTTCAAAATAATAAAAAAATATTTCGAAGATGTGTGAAGGCTGCCAATTCCAGGTATAGTGGCGTGGTAGCCTATGCCCTAATACCCTCTGTATAGAGGAGACCTTTACCCTGGGGTATAGAAAATTTAATGTAAAAAAAAAATATAAAATGCTTTACATCTCGTTTCGCTGATATCATGTGGTAGCGGGTTTAAACATTCTTTTATTTCAGAGGTGATAAGAGGTTTCCCTTCCCATAGAGTAGGTACTTCCACAACACTCGTGAATTAAGGTTGCTGTTGTCACACTCAAGAAGATACTTTACTTATGCAGAAAAGGAAAATTATGATCGCTGTAATTACGATTTTAAGCAAAGCCCAGGTACTTCCTCTTAACAGCCAGCCCGTTCGCTTTTTATTCAGTATCTACACTCCAGCAACCCGTGTCCAAATCCCATTTATGTATATATAAAGTGCTAATTGACAATGTGATTTTAATTATTAATTAAAATCAACTATTAAAAAAATAGGTTTTTATTATTCCCTGGAAATGAAAGAAAAGAATTTTTTTTGTTTCTTAAACAAGTGACTTTTGTCCAACCGTGGGAGAAATAAAGAAAAGGCTCAGCGAAAAATATTTAAAAATAGCTGCTTACCGCGACTATGTCTGCGTAGAATAGGCCGATGGCGTAACATTCAAACAGAAAGACAGATTAGATAAAAATATGCCTTTATATATACCACATTCATGGGTTTGCCTTATGTTGTCTGGGAAAAATAGTTAGATCTTAAGTCAACACCAACTACGTTTAGGGTTTGTTCCTAAACTTATTAGTCGTCACGAAGCAAGATGCCGTGCGCTTGAATTGGAATGGGAAGTCGTTGAATATTCTGTGAATAACACTCATGTGTTATTCACAGAATATTCCCATCACCGACATCAGGTGAAACGAAAGCTGACTTACCACCTTCTCACATTAAAAAAGCCTGTGTGTAACTGTGATAACACAGATTGCACTGTTAGAATATTGGTACTGGCATATCTTTAGTTTAAAGTAAACCGATTGCGATTAACGATCTCTATTTTGCCCGTTTGAAGTTTAAGTATAACCAGAGAAAATTACAACAAAAGCCGATGAGTACTTTTGAAGTTATAAGCAAACAGACAGACAGACCGACCGACAAAAATTTCTAAAGAGGTTTTTATGTGTCTCTTTAACTCTTTATGTGATACCCGATTTAATTGTTTTAATAAATGTATTCAATGTACAGACATACCGAATCTACTTCTTTATTATATACATATAGTATTACTCATTTATTATAGTATTTATATAGGTATAGATAAGAGTCGAAACGTTTAGATTTTCGTTGGTTTGCGATCAGCCGTTTAGCTTAGTGGCTAAAGCGTCAGGCCGCGAATGCCGAAGACGTGGGTTCGATTTCCACAGCGGCGACAATATTTTCATACTTTTTCTACAAATTTTATTGTTAATTCTTGAGTGCAGAGATTAGCACTAAAAAATTTTAATTTCTAAAAAGCAATGGCGACATCCCTCGTTCGAATTATCATTGTAAAACGATATTCGAAACTGTTTGTATGCTGGAAAGGGTATAAAAATGGATGCACAAGGCATGTTTCAAATGCTATAAAAACAATGTAGATAAAAGACGTTAAGATTTTCGTCTGTGTGGCGATCAGCCCTTTAGCTTAGTGGCTAAAGTGTAAAGCCGCGAATGCCGAAGACGTGGGTTTGATTCCCACAGCGGCGACAATCTTTTCGTACTTTTTCTACAAAATTTAATAGATAAGAATCAATTTGTTACTACCAAATATGAAAATAAATAAATTTAATTTAATTATTAAAAAAAATAATTTAATTTTAATTTTAATTAATAAAAAAAAACATTACCAGCGATAAGGCCGCCAAATTGTCCATTCTATTAATTTGTTTGTCTATTGTTTATTTTGTGTATCCTTTTTTGTGTGGTGGACAATAAAGTATTCATTCATTCATTCATTCCCATTTTTTTATTCCATTTATGGTTCACTATTTTGGCGATAATGGCTTACATATAAACGATAGATATATACTGTCGTGGGCTTTATACTACGGACTATTTAAAATTAACATTTCCATTATACATTATATACGTGTAATTCTAACGGTTTATGCAGCTCAGACGAGAATAGCTCGTAGATGGCAAAATTTTTTCCCAATTACTTGACACTTATCGTAATATTTTGGAAACTTCATTCAATATCTTAATATATTACATCCTACGTGTTGTTCTGACGTATAAGCTATATTATTGTAAAGTTTCCATTCAATGGTTTTTGCGCGAAAGAGTAATAAACATCCATCCATATCTACATACAAACTTTCGCGTAAATAATATATAACATAATTAAAATATGATATTTAACGTAATTTAAATAAGTAAGAATTTATTAATAAAGTAAGAATTAGTAAAGCAGTTCAATAAAAAAAATAAAGTAACAGCCTATAAATGTGCCACTGCTGGGTAGAGGCTTCCTCTGTGCAGAGGGTATCAGGGCATAGTTCACCACGCGGCCCCACTGCGGATTGGTAGACTTCATATATTTTTACTTCGTATTATCTTCTAAATGCAATGTGTTTTATGAAATATTTTTTTCGGTATTTTTTCGAAAATATGCGAGTTTGCTCACGATTTTTTCTTTCACTGCTGAGCACGTGGTAATTTAGAACTTATTATTAAGGGATGCTCGATTATAGGGAATTAAAGCGAGCGCCCGGACCATGAGCTATCACGGCTGTGAAGTTCAATGTTTAACACTTATTGACGCAATTATATTTATCATTAAATCGAAAATTAGCGCATCTCTTGGACGCTCCATATCTGATGACTTATGATAAATACAGTTTCAACCCTTAATGGCTTGTCTTCACATTGTATATGAGATAATTTAAATTTCAACGTCAAATGAGAAAACAACTTTATTATGCTGCGTTCGATTAAGTCCATGAATCATGGTCGTTTACGTGGACCGGTTCCCGTCATATTCATAGTTATTCCAAGTATTGCATGAGCAAATAGTATGAATAAACTTGACAATGAGTATATATACTCCGTTGTCAGGTGGCGCCGTCGCCCTACATGCGAAATAATGAATGGATGAGTCAGGCCATCCTTGTTTCGTGACTAAGAAAGTCTTTATCGAGTCTAAAGTACTTTGACGTCTCAATATTCCCTCGAATCTGTTCTATAGTAGTACAATGTCAAGCTATGTTAATGGGCTGAGCATGTGATTGAGAATTTAAAGCATTCGTTTTTAAGTCAGGGTCTGTGGGTTCTTAGGGTGTTTAGAATAAAGTGGGCAGGGAGGAGAATCTTGATTAGCTTTTATCAAATTCCGTTGTTCAATATTAACATATCGTTTCATTGATAAGATTAACTCTTAAAAGTCATAATTATATGCGGCAAGTGTCATTTTTAAAGCAGTCTCAAACTGCGCAGAATCTATTATTGTTTCATAATCGTTTGCGTAAACACTGAGACACGCAATTGGCCTTGCTATATCTGATAGAGCCTCTGAGATAGCTATGCCTATTTCCATATATATTCGGTTAAAATATCGAGTATATTTTATCCTTTAAACGAGCAATTCTTGTATATATATATATATATATATATATATATATATATATATATATATATATATATATATATATATATATATATATATATATATATAATCGGAATCTCGGAAACGGCTCCAGCGATTTTCATGAAATTTAGTATATGCATAGATTCGGGGGCGAAAAATCGATCTAGCTATGTTTCATTTTTAGAAAATGTCCTTTTATCCCTGTTTTCAGGGAATGAAAAATATAATTCGAATATGACGGTAAATTTCGCCGCAAGAGAAAATGTCATAATAGCTCGGTCGGTAATCGGGCGGCCCCAAAACAGACGGCCGTGGATCGCGTCACGATCATTTACACATTTATTTTTTTACTTTTTTTTCGATTCCAGATCATTGCTTTCTTTATTTTTAATTTTTTGTCGATTTGTTATTTTGTTATTTTTTCCCCTTTTTTTTTTAAAGTTCTTTCTTTTGTGAAAAACATCAGTTCATATTTTCTTATTATTACGTCGGTAAGATCGAAAAATATTATGCATATTTCATTACTCAGTAATTTGTATCTAAATGTAATTTCCAATATACACGATTTACCAAAAAAAAAACAAACCGAGCAAAGCTCGGTCCTCCGGGTACTATTATTATATATGAGTATATATCAATAATGTTATTATATTAAACACAAACACACTTTACTGTAATTTTATGTATAAGATAATTGAAAGACTCATGAAGATTTTGCTTTAAAGTTAACTTAAATATGCCGGTCCATTTGGCGTAATGGATACTGAACCTGTATAAGTTATTCGTTGCCCACAGTACAAGCTCCGCGTAGTTTCCTGAAATTTTATACATTTACTATAAATTCATCTCAATATTTAATTCATCTCAACATCGTCAAGCTAGATTTGTTGTTAATGGAGCTATCGACCGCTTGACGAAGGGGATGGTGTAAAAATAAGTGATCATCGTACAACGATCAGAGGTGACGTGTCCAGGGACACGTGGTCACCATTCATAAAGGCAAGCATCCACACCAATATCGGGAAACGCGCACGCTGACTAAACGCGCGGGCGCGCGAGGAATGCTGCACCGACGAAGGAAGTCCGCAACGGCACCTAGAATGCGTCGTCACACATACCTATACGTCCAATACGGTATTGCTCACCGGCGAGCCATGACATCATGTCCATTTGCATGGGTGATGCGACGAAGGGTCACCGATTGAATTTTATTTCCATATTGTTTACAAACGTTTATAAGCCAGCCTCGCGCAGGACACGCACTGTGTTTTCGAGCAGACGAATCCTTATAGATTTCTCCTTGTGTCTGCTGCTTCGGTCGATGGATTGGTCTTGTAAACTAGACTGCTGATCCGATAGACATTATAACAATTAAAGAGTTTATCGACGAAACAATGATTTTGAAAGGATTTTCTTCGAAGCACGCAGAATTTGTGACTTTTTTTCAGGGGGTAGCATTGAGTTTATACAAAAATAGAATGTTTCTTTGCAGACTACATAATGAGTCACATTTTGGCGAGACATCTCGCGTGCAGACGAGACGACCTCAACGATTCGACCTTATTTTATAACGAGAATGCGACTGTGTTTACGTCTTTCTTATTGAGACATTATTGGCTAAAGCCCAAACTATGACATTGGACTAAGTCTCTCTCGCTTTATATTATAACGCATCCTCAAAACAGTCTTAGCGATTCCACCGAGCCAATTGTTATATTGCAGAACAATAATATTTATACTACGCATAAATTGCTTGACATAATTTCATTTCGAATAAGAAGAGGATGGATATTTATTTAGAGCAAAATTAATTCAAACGCGAAAAATATTTTATTAACAGTCTTCCCGTCTACTGTGGACTTTATTGCTTTATGCCGGTGTGAATGAAACAACCGTTGTGTAGAGTTCTTTTTCTTTTCATTGCAAAGCGTGATTAAATGCATTCCCAATATAACGTTTACTAGTGCTCTCGGTATCTCATTACTTCGAACGCCGCTTTACAGACTGAATATGTAAACTATTCCAATATAAACCACCATTGGTACATGAACATGAGGCTGAATACAATTAACCTGTTTAAGCCAGCTATGATCTCTTCGTCGCGTCGTGCCTCTAACCACATTCCACATAGTTCGTCATAGAAAACTGTACGTAGCCTTCTCGGCCTTCGTCTTTGTGTATGTTACATTTAAGACAAACGATATTATGTAGGTACACGTGTATCCACTTTATAATCTTACCAATTACACTGTGTTGCATGTTGAGTGATAAATATGTTTTTTAAATTATCATACCCAGAAAATTTCAAAGTGTCTTATTTTCAAACGATTATAATTTCATGATTCACGCGTTTAGTCAAACGGAAAAAGGTTGTCCGTAAATCAAATTAAAAAAAAATTGTTAAAGGGCTAAATATTTATTATCGTTACATATTTGTCGTGTCCATCTGTGTGAACGGTTATCGAACCGAAATTGAGTACGAAATGCTTCGCGCGTAGATATGCGACTAATATTTAATTAAAACGGGAGAAGCATTTAGTTATCCTCGCAAGATGGCGGGTGACGCGTGCGGTCCGGACACAAAGGGCTAACGGTAATGCACCGAGCCACCTGACTCGGCAAACAGCCTGCGTTTCTCACAGGAAACCGGCGATCGATCAAATCACACCGGCGGTATGCAAACATGAGCACAGTCAGATATGCTGCGCCGAAAGGAGCGCTCCGTTGCGAGCGAGAGGGACGCCCTTACGGCGGCGCCCGGGCGCGAGCTGGCACGCAGCAGGTCCGGCATCGAATCCGTGCGCGTGCGCTTACGAATTGCATTCCCATACAGGGTAACGGCGCCCGATCACCTCTCTCGCTTCCCCCGGAGGTGTTGCGGCGACCGTCTCGCTCGCGCAACATGAATGGAGGCGCCATGGAATGCGGTCGCGTGACGTGCGCGGCGCCGACGCCGATCTCGATGCACTTAAGCATAGGACTAGTTGTACCATTGTGGGATCTTTATGTCCGCTAGGCACAGCGCCCGAGCACTTTCGGCCAGTGGGAAATACCCCGGCAGCCGAACGATAAAGTCCGCGCGCACCGCCTAGTGCGACATTGACCGCTTTTTACAGCTCAGATGAAGCAATGCGGTGTTGTACCGATATTGACTCATCGCTGAATTAATAAACCCGTGGGAGAATCGTTTCACGCCAACCGACATCTTGTGGAGCGCTCTTTTTCCACTTTCTTACGATAATTTCAATAAATTCCAACACATAATTAACATTTACAGACTTTTGAATGTTGATGGTTTGATTACTCATTTTAATGAGGGCTTTTTTACAGTTAGCGATTTGAATACGGTGTAAATTACGTTAGGCGGAATGATTCCGATACCTTTCATCCGTTCCGCTACGAGAATATCTTACGGCGGTCGTAAAAAGAGGCTTGGACCAGTTGATTTGGATTTGGGACGTTCTAAGGTGACCGCAACTTGAAAGTTGAAGAGTGATGTTGGCTCACAATAAAATCTCTGTGGAGGCCGCAGGGTTGTTGTGCGAGTTATTTCGCATTGTTTACCGTCACAAGGCAGCGGAGCGGGTTATGATGTTGTTGCGTCCGTTAAATGTGGAGCACGCCGAGGCGGCCGCTCTCTCTGCTATGTAGGCGGCTGTACGGGCAAATGGTCCCACATTGTTGCCTTTCGTCACCGTCATAGCATTTTGTCGACGTGCATTACTCGTTGATGTTTTTGGATACGATGTGTTGGATCGTTTTGCGACGACGCTGTGTCGTCAATTAGCAATAGGCTTCACGTTTGTTCTTTCGCAAAATTCACGAAAGGATTAGTAATAAGGCCTCACACAACGTGAGGTCTTAACGAAAAATAAATTTAATACAAAGTAGCGCTAATTAAAATCTGTGAGTGCAGCGCTTAGTAGTCCATTACCGTTATTTAATAGTTCAATCTAATCTCTGCTACAATGTACCAAGTTGCTAAACAATTACTACCATTTACCAGACAATCGAACCGGAAATCGATTCCTTGCAGCTTATTATTGTCAGCATTGGTGGGCATAACTATTGATTTCGTATATAAGTTCATCGTTCTATTTAGTAATTTAATAATAAAAGTCTTGACGTTTCCTCTACTTTTAGAGAGGTCATGATTCAAAAAAGAACCCATGACAACTGAGCTTTGTAATCTTGATTACATTTCCACCCAAAGATAATGTATCAAATTCATCGGCACGAAAGCATCTTCCAGCTAAGGTGTAAGTTTCGATCTTGACTTCCAATTTCAACAGTCTTGTCTGAATTATAAACATTCCATTATTACTAAAACTTCAATTTCAACTAATTCAGACCAACCACACGTCAACAATACAAAGGCGTTTCATAAAAATGTTCATCTTTGCGGTCGGACTAATTTCCACGTTTCCGTGTGCTAAAAGTTATTATTTTCCTCTAAAAACTAAGTTTATTTGCAAAATTTGCGGATTAACAAGTCATAATGATCTGTTGTCTCGCCGCCGTCGATCAATAGATAAATATTTGTCTTTTATAGTACGGAAGGACCAACATAATTATGTATAGTAATGAAAGGACTTTGCTCTAACTTTAGAGCATTGCACCATTCTATAACGGTCCAAACATATTGCAAAAATAATGTCCGTATTTGGGACGCGTTAATAAATTAGAATCGATTGCATTTCGTGTCGAAGTGGAGCGGACTGTGTTGTCGCGGCGGCGGGCGCCGAACGATCGACGCTATGCAAGAGGCTGCTGTTAGCCTCCCGTGCGGAGCCCCGCTGTCTGGCGGCCGGGCCTTCGCCCCCCGCACCGCCTCCGCCTCCCGCTCTCCCCCGCTAGCGCTGCCTAGCCTCAACACTCCATCGGCCAATATCAAACACGCATCTGCATTAATCTAACCGTCGATGACCCTGCACTATGGAATCTTACCAATGAGATGCTCTCGTTTTTGTCGAATTTAGTCCACAACTTGACAAACAAGGCACGCATGCCTATGCTATAAACTTTAGTTGACATTCAGCTTTTTGATTTATCGAAGTGTAACTTTTACTCGGCCTGCCGGATATTGGAACGGTCAAAACGCCTCGTCCGAAGTATTCATGAATGTTGCGGAATGTAGTTAGTACGTTTGGACATGAACATAAATGTTTGTTACAAACCCGTTGTATATAATTGATGTAATTGATTTCTTCTGCGCACAATTATAGCGTTACAAACAAAGCGTTCGTAAAAAGTGTTAAATGGCATGGAAATTGGTCGGTAACATATCATTCATTACAATATAGAAGGCTTTTCGGATTGTGAGAATATTTGATTGCAAGAGAAAGTGTACGTGTGTAATATTAAAGCATACGCCGCTTCGCACATTCCATTAATAAAGGCATGTGAAACTGTTTTAAGATGAAAAAGTAAAGTTAAAACGGCTTGCAACAGAAATGAGCGAGCTCATTGCTTTCGATTAGAAGGCATACATCTCTCGAGTGTCATTTCAACGAATTCGTGCGCGCGAGGTTCTAATTGAACAAGTGCGGTGGTGCTGGAGCGGCCTCGGTCTGCAGATTGGCTCCAATTGCGGCCACTCGAGGCTGCGCAATGGCTGGCCGATGGGAATTCCGACATGGCACCGGCGGGCGAGTGGCGAGTGTCGAGTTCGCAGGCTCTGGTCCTGCGCGCGCGCAAAGACGTCCGCGAGGCCGCGGCATGAATGGAGCCCCGGTATGTGGGTCACGGTGTCGTCAATGGGCCGTCGCGTCGGCAAGGCCCCGCGCAGCCGCCTCTTGCGCCCCCATCCCATCGTGCCGTGAAAGTTACCGAGACTTTCGCGACAGCACGCGCGACCCGCAGAGCGTTTTACACTTTGCCGCACCAAAACTAAGTCACTTTTCGTTTAACACCGTCGAGCGTTCACATCCGCTTCGGCGTTTTACGCTCGCCTCCGACACTCGGCGACGGGTCAACGGCATAGCTCTTATTTGTATAGGGGCTAAGATCCATTTTCGCTGTGCGCTGGAGATATCGGCCGAGCCGTATGCTTGCGCTTAGGAATTCACTTCCGGGTAGGTCGGAAAGTGAAATGGACTCGTCAGTGATGTAATTGGAATTCGGATGTATCCGGAGTCAGCGTTACACCGTTCACTTATAAAATTTCTATACGAAACTGTTGACATAATAAGTTAGCCGCGACAGCTTTTTCCGTGGCGCAAATGAATGGAAATTATTAATGCGGCAAACTACTCTATCTGAAATAAAATTTGTGCGTGATTGTTAGTCTAAAGCTTATTAAATACGCGCACTTTAGAGGCTGTACATTTTTTTCACAAATGCGTTTTTAATTTAAAGCCTACGTTGATTGTATAGAGGCGTCTGCGTTTTATAGAGGATGAATTGAACCGAGCTTCACGCATAGAACGGTTTTATTGGGGTATGGCCACGCAGCAGCTTCTGATGTCAATAAACGGGATCGTCCAGGGAAGCACCACGGCCTCCGAACCAACGGGGGTCCATTAATTTAAAGGTTCTATATATATATAGAACCTTTAAATGAATCGAAAATGTCCTAATACCAGGTGAAAAAAAATAACCGAGGGGCGTTTTGTTAAAAAGTTTTCCCACATACTCTAAAATCATTGAACTACCTATATTAAACCCAGTTCCTATCATTGAATATAAATTGAACTCTCTTGAACCAAGGAAGCCTATTCATCAAGAGTGGTTTCTCATTTTGGTTATGTACCGCGTATTTTTTACTCTAAAACTTGTAAATATAAATAATGAATGAGTCGATTGGAACCTAAATCTGCCAGTAACAATTTCTTTGAAAGACGAAACCTCATACTAAAAAGTAACGACCAATGCTTCGAAAGAAAAACGAAAACGTATGGCACCCAAAAATATAATATTATTAAATTGAAAGCCTATAATTACCAATGAATTACTTAGTATTGAGTTATGCAGTGGCTTTGAATTTCTTATTGCGTCAACATTCAGCTACAAGGCGCACACTCAGGTCACTTTCGAATTTTATCAAAACGAGCTGTGGTTTTGGTCCAAGATTCGATTCAGTTAAGTGATAAATATTACATTTTTACCTTTAGAATTAGCCACAAATGTCAGAGGGTTGGTTACTTTTCGATTAATTAATTCAAGAGGTTCAATTAACGATTACATAAAACACTACGATTCTGGAGTTCAATTGTTGCTTTGAGCTTTAAAGTGTGTGCTGAATTTATGCAAATTCATTTCAAAATTATTTACCGTGGGACAAATTAAAAAAAATGTTTATATAACAGTTTTATGGGATTTGACTGTACATTAGATTTAAGACTGAACTAGTCGATTGTTAGACGGATGTCGCGTACTTTGAACATTTTACTAGACATCAGAAACGTTATATTAAACATGATTTAAACAATTTATGGCTAAAACCGTGTGATATAACCGTGTGAACTTATCTCTAATAATTAAAAAAAAAATAGTTCTGTTGAGAAGAAAGTACTAACAGTATCACATACCATGCGTCTCAATATGTCTGGTGGTCTTCTTTTTTAAAAAAAAATACTATTTAGAATTTAGTATAGTATAACAAAACTTGAGTCAGATGAAGAGATAACTGGAACTATTTAGTGTCAAATTTTAATAACGCATGGAAAAGATTTACATTGGACTCCTACTTATCCATTTACACTGTCATTTGAAACTTAATATAGAATAAAATATCATCGGGCGGATATTTTAAATAATAGCATTCAAATAAATACACTTAAGAGGCCCATTATTTTCTATCAAACGACAGTTACGATTCAGCGGTACGTTATCGATTGACTTCGATATGGTGCATCGATAAATCTTCCACGATTGCGTCAACAGATCGATAAAGTCTCACAACGCTTGTTCCGATGGTACTCTTAATTTTATAGTATGAAGGATTAAAGAAGATTAGCCCACTTTCCACCATCAAATCCATCAAAATATCAAAACGTTTGAAAATTGTGGATGTTGTTCATTGGTGTTTTATCCAATGTTTTCGACATAATATATTTTACTTGCCGTTAACCGCGGCTTCGCCCGCACGGTTAAAAGAAATTAACATATTATTTATTATACACCAGAATATCCTCGTAGATGGTTGATTTTTCCCTACTTGTCACTTATACCTATATTTATGGTTTGCAATTCACACAATATCTTTATAAATTATAGCCCATGTGCTATTCTTATGTATAAGCTTTATTGTTGTAAACTTTCAGTAAAATCTATTCCGTACCTTTTGGGTGAAAGAGTAACAGACATACAAACTTTCGCGTTTACAAAATTAAGTAAGGATAGTAAGGATTAGATAGACCAGTGAGGCCCTACTAAATAAGGTTGTCTAATAAACTTAAGTGTGGCAAGACTTAACTCAGTAGATTACATATTACTCCAACGGCTAACCGATTATAAGACCAATAAAAGGATATAAAATAAAATCTTGAGCGTTTTGATACAAAAAAATAATAATTAAAAAGAAGATTTAACCAAGATCCCGCAATTAAACGTAAACAAACCCACAAACCTTATTATTTTTGATTATATTTTGTTGTTGTTGATGTTGATGTTGATGTTGCATATTTATATATTACAAATATTTCATATGTTACATACAGACTGTTTAAATTACTTTAAGCGAAACCTTCCTTTTTGTTTTCGACCTTTTAAAGTATTGAAAACAACAAACTTCTTTCCGTGATAATTACCCATTCCAATTATAACGTGAAATTACTAGAAACGCAGATGAATTCTATAGATACATAGATGGCGTGTCCTTAACGCGTGCAGTCAGCGTTTAGCTTGGCTGCTCCTGGTATAAACAACGAGGGAATGTAAATTATTGCACTTCGTAGATCCCCTACTTCGCTTAAATTTAGATTTTTAAAGGTGGCAGGACCATAATCGGGACTTTTGGACTTAAAATTTTTTTTTAATGTGATAACCGATGGCCCAGGAATATTTGGAACACCCGTAGGGTTGCAAATGCATTGCCACCTTTAAATAAAGAGGGCCCCGGCTACCTCACTCACCAGACGAAAGGCAGAAGTGTAACACTTCTACTTTACGCTGGTCTTCTGTGAAGTCTTGGTACTTACCCGGACGGACCTGCCCATTCGTGCAAAAGTGTTGCACGGCCCTACCACTGTTAAAGTAAGTAAAATAAATAAAACAATTAATGTTTAGTTACATATTGGTGGTGTGTGTGTCACAGTTCGCAATCCACACCCTAGTTATTGAGTAGATAATTTACAGTCCATGGCCTCAACAAAGAAGGACTAACAGTATCGTAATTGGTTCAATTGGTAGCCTTTGTCAATCTGATTGTACAGCACAACGATTAGTACTTGGTGCTTCAATGTAAATGGCGTTTTATATTCTATTCCACATAGTATGCAGGCTATTCGATATTGTTGTTCTGTTATTTGTGAATCTGTTGTTTGGAATCTTTAAAAACTTAAATAGTAAACGAAGCTTTTAGACGTCTAAGATTTAATACGGCTTTGAGGTAGATCTAAACTCTTCGAATAAAGCTTCGATACGATTAAAATCAAGGGCGATCCTACCGTCAACCTGGTCCAGTTGTACCAACACCACCTAAAATTACCACTGCCGAACGTCGACCATCAGAAACATGACAGTAGTTGTGTTAAGGAAAGAAATAATGACGTATAAACCGTCACGCGGACTTGCAGTTCTGACTAACAAAGGACTAATAAAATAACAAAGCAAGCGATTTCCAACTACCAAAAATCCAGACACGGTTAGAAAAAATTCCCATAAGACATCAAATTTACTGACTAAATGGTCAGTGTACTTTATTGGTCGTTTGGCCATATTGGAAGTCTCACAGGATTTTTTACGTACTACACTACAATACCAGCGGGGTGACTCTGCAAGTTTAGGCAATTACAGTTTTTTGCTAAAAAATAATAGCAAAGCACTATTTATTTGACTATTCTTAATAATAGCTGTTTATTTAACAAAACGTAAAGCTTAATTTATAGGCAGTTACAAATTTTATATATAGAACTCGGATCATTGTCTGAGGACAAATTGTTCAATCTGCGTATCTAAGTTTGATACGCAGATTGACAAACTGTGGGTGCGATATAACAGGGAAAACTGATATTTCAGCAACTCCTTTTTTGTTGTCGTATTAGTTATTGAAACGAAATTAAACAAATATTTAGTATAGGCGTACTAATTACAATTAATAAGTATTAGCATTTGAGTATTGACTCTGTTGACTGAATCTTTTTAGTGTATTATGTAGTGGATAACCTTTTGTGTCTATACTTTTCTATACTTTACTAGCTGCTGCCCGCGACTACGTCTGCGTGGAGGGGTGAAAATTTAGGGTTGTATGTATTTTTGTATGCTGTGTCATAAAAAAATAGAAACAAAAAGTTTTATATAAAAAATAAAAAAAATTTAGGGGTGGACTACCCCCTTAACATTTAGGGGGATGAAAAATAGATGTTGGCCGATTCTCAGACCTACTGAATACGCATATAAAATTTGGTAAAAATCGGTCGAGCCGTTTCGGAGGAGTTCAAGTTCGAACCCCGTGACACGAGAATTTTATCTATACTTCATTTGCGCGTTTGTAAAAAGATATGAGGGTAAAACTTTTACAAGGTTGTCAACGCATCTGTAACCCTTGGGTGTGACAGATGTGCAAACCCGGTCATCTGGAGCGCTGTAACGGCGTTTTAAATTAATGAAATTAAAAAAAATTGTAGTGAAAAATTTTCCTCAAAGGACCATCTACAACATTGGTCTGAGGTAATTTTTTTTGTAAAATGTATAAAAAAAAGTTATGGAGCAAAAAAGAAAATTTTTATAGAAATTTACTCACTTTTTTGCCTATTACTTATTTAATTTTAAATTTAAGGCAAAAAGTTATATGAACATGTTTGTAGGCAAAGCGATTTGCTATCTTTACGAATTTTTTGTACGACATATAGTTTCCGAGACATCGCGAAAAAAGTGTTTGCACCCCTTTTTCCTAGATGTTGGCCGGGGTACTAGGGCTGAAACCCCACTAACTTGGGGTTAAGCTTCTATTGACCCCACACACATGTCCCAAAAAATACATTGCATCCTCTATAAAATGCAATATTCGGTCCTTAAATTGTAAGATTTCAATGGACTAAAAATACACTAAAAAAACCGAACGTCTTTATTTTCTTAACCGTGAAGACCGCTGAGCTAAGTCTACCCGCCAGCTTAATATGGTAGGCCCATTGGAGTTTAGCATCTATAGTCTATAGTATGCCAAAAATGTGTTGTGTTCGCGGATAACTTTTTCGTCTATAAACCAATTTTGATGATTATTTTTTTGTTGGAGAGAAGATATCCCAAGGATCGGGAATCCCAGATCTAATGATGGCAAGCCAAAGAAATCAAGGGGAACCTTCGAAAACCGTAGTGGCAACTAGTGCCTTTATTCACTTTTTTCAATGTAAGTATTACTATTTAATTAAGGTCTGGAGTCGATCTGATGTTGGAGCCGAAATACAGTCGATGGAACTCCTCAATAATTTACAGCAATTACCTGGTTTTTGGACTTAATTCATTTCTACTGATGACAACTTTGCACCCAATATGTATATAAGTACCATTACAGGTCTGATGCCATAGACAGTTGAGGGGATTGCTCAACGATTTACAGCAGGTACAGTTTTGTTAGGCTTACTTCATACATTCATTTTGGTTTAATATGCCAAAATGTTCTGTTTGTACAGTAATAGTATTTTTTTTATCGAGGGTGAAATCTTCAACAGATACCCTGTCATCTTATATGACAGGGTTAAACCCTGTCATCTTACATGACAGGGTTAAGTGAGGTTCTTAGCTACTAAAACCCCCTCGCTGGCCACCTTCTGTACGTTTGGAGGGATCCCGGGATCTTCTATGGAACGCAACGGTGCCCCTCGGTACTGGGCGTGAATACGCCTCGGAGAAGCGTAAACCTTACCCGATTCCCTCGCCATTTGCAGCAGCTCGAGGCTACTTCGAGCTACTTCCAATCCGTGTCTCCTTTTAGTCCTATTCTATGAGCTCGGAACTACAGGGCTGACGGAAATAATACCTAGTTAAGATTGTAGTTATACATAGTTATACCACCTGTACTACCTACTAGGCATGCTGATGCATCGCGTCATCTCTAGCAACGCTCTTTCGTCGTGTGGCCTACTCAATTTATTTTTTTCTTTTTCATTAGTTTTGATTTTATTTTTTTCTAAGCGTTTCCGTCTATTATTTTCTCTCTCAAGTAGCCGTCGTTTCCGTCGTTCCGTCACCTGAAAAGCATACTTGTAAGGTCTACCCATCACTAAAAATCGTAAAATAAAAGAAATTTTAACAAAAAAAAACCGACTTCTAACAGGAAACTACACGGTAAAAAAATTTTTATTAGCACAAAGTAATTAGTATTTTGATTTGGTTACTCAGAAATTATTAAATAAGTATTTTATGATTTTGAAGTCGGTGCCAAGTAAAACAATACTAGGTATAATTATAAAATAATACTAGGTATAATCTAACCTAAGGAAAAAACGAAAAAGAAAAGGAAGTTTAGAAAAGCAACAATCATTTTTCGACATTATCCTTGTTTTGCTATCAGATTATGTGATTTCTTTTAATTTAATACGTTCATGCTATAAGTATTTATCGAACTTTCAAATTTAAGAACTACGTAGGTAATATTGTTTAACTGGTTATAACAATAATCTTATTATAGATAGATAGTTAATATATATATATATATATATATATATATATATATATATATATATATATAGAGTTAATATATATACTATAATAGTCGTAAGGTATTACTCCCATTCAAGTTTATTCCATTAATTTATTAGTTCTAGTTACCATTTAGGAGTTGCGGTAGACCTCGCATGCTGTTTATCAAGTGGGAATAATGAAATTGCTTATTGTAAAACATTTTTATAACTGTGGTAACATTGCAAAGTATTTAACTACTTTCAAGGGTTGTAAAACATTCAAAGGATCACATGGTAAACACGCCTTAGAAAGGTGTAGACCATATCTTTTTGTCTTATATGTCACTTTTTTTTTAATTCAAAGTGCGAGACGCTCACACTTTGAATTTAAAAAAAAATCATTAATGTTCCAAATGCTATGGGTACATAATACAAAAATCAAGCCTACAAACGATCGATCTTTAATGTGCAGTGTTCACAATTAAATGTCCGCTATGCAAGCTAATTAAGAAGCTCACTTGAGACTGCAGCACACTTTATTACAATGTTTACTTGCTTTAGTTAGCTTACGACCTTATAATTACATTTAATGCTCAGCCACAAGATCGATTCCGCGTAAAAATTGTGTTCTCAGGGTCCTTTAGTTGTTTTTTCTTTAGTGATCATTCACGCCAGGGATTAGTTTATGGACGCAAGATTTTTTTAAACATTCGATCTGTGTACGTTATCCACATTTTAATTTGTGCGTGGTATAGTAATTCTGCAGCTGCATCAAATTTGTAAAAAAAAGAGATAAGAACACGAGATAAGTAAGATGGCATAGTAAGAGTGCAATGTTAAAGGTTTGTGGCGAGAATGAACATTTTTAATTACCCATTCCACACCATTCAAAAGTATTCAATGTGAACACACTGCCTTCTATTTTATTACTGGTACGAGGTAATTATGTTTTTGTAACCATAGTTACCTCGTACCGGTACCAAAGTAGGACTAAAAGTATGATTCTTGATAGTCAGGAACATGACACACACGAGGTTTAAAATAAGCCGTTCATCGTTACTACTCTCTTTTACTTAGACCTTATCGATCCAGCTTAATTATAACATACAAAGTATACGACCCCTGGGTTGAGTGTACATTGTACTGAATTGCATTTCGCGAAGGTCGAAACGTGCCTCTCATATCGGATCACATCGTTTTAATGTATTATAAGTTATGGCGCACCGTGTATCATTATGCAGAATTGTTCGCTATTATGTAACGCAGCAGTAGCGACCTTTAGCAGGGACGGTTGTCTAACGGTGACGGAGGCAGTATGTACAGTTAGCCGCATTCCTCGTGCGGGGCAGGGTGGCTGGCAGGTGCCGCGCGGGGGACGATGGACGTCCTCTCGAGGAATGTGCCAGCCGCATTTACCTCCCACATAGCTCGTCAGTGCGCTTAGTTGAAACGATATCGGACGCTTTGTGGAATGCGTTTATTAAACGTGTTGCTCGATGCCATGTTTACTGCGCCGGACGTTTTTCGAGGTGAATTCAATTCGTGTCGAATTAAAGTGTCTCTCCTTTGTCCGCAGGAACTTGGCGCTGGGCATCGGTATCCAGAATTTTCCAGAGGGCCTCGCGGTCAGCTTACCGTTGCAAGCCGCTGGCTTCTCAGTATGGAGAGCTTTCTGGTGAGTTACTTAATTAGCTTGCCGAAATAAAGTGTTTATAGCAATAGTTACCATAATATTTATGTATATTCATAGGGCCTGTCTTTTATTTTTAAAATGTATCAAATCGATAAATTATAACTAGACGAATCGAAGGATCAAAATAGAATATTCGTCAAAGTTGGATGTTCGAAACAATTACATAAGTGCCTTTCCACGCGGTGACATAAGTCTACCGATGAGCCGCCGTTGCCGGCTAGATGCGGAGAATGTGGCCGCGCTCGTCGTTAGGCCGGATGCCAACGCAGCCAGACTGCCCGACCCCATTCCACCACGGCCCGAGTCGTCCGCCGACGGATGCACAATGCCCGAAAGCATCGGACTCCTGACGCTTCCCCGGGCATCGCTTTTAGCGGCCACACAACACAAAGTTTTTAATGCTTTGCACCGTGCACCACCCGTTGCACCAGATCGCAGAACATTATTAGGCTTTTATTAGCTAGTCAACACTATCTTATTTACGTTGATCGCTTGCATATCATCGTAAGAAAGGAATAAGCTAGTGACAAATAAATTTCAATCCCCGCAAGCCGATATCAAAGGACGTACTCATTGACAGTAATAATAGCTTTACAATGTTTGTAATAGGTACTCTTTATTATTACAAAGATTATGATCGGGCCTTTTAAAATTTCAGTCCGTATTGCTTAAATTAATACGTAAACTAAAAATTTATAAAAGTCTTCCTTAGAAATTTCCTATAGCCTAGCTGTTAATAAGTCTCACGCAACATTCATCGTTTGAGCCCGTGTCTGTCAACATGCATAAACTGGTGCCTTTGCTAATACGCAGAGGAGACCAATAAGAAAGAGGCTGAATGTGTTGGCCACGTTTGGGCCTTACCTGATCTTGAACTGCTGTGAAAGTACTCATCGCTCAAACATTTTCATGCTCCCCTCGTCTCTTCTGTGCCTATTAAATTAAAAAATACGTTCAAATTGTCATGGCAGAGGCTTCATTGTTTAGAGAACGCGATACGTGCCCGCGTTGTAAATGCTGGCAAATGGGTAAAAGTTGTAAATAGTCGCATTCCGCCATGTTCTCGGAAACACTGGCGCTATTCGAACCGCGGAAACCGTCTTCTAGGACAGCAATTGTGAAATGGGCGCTTCATTTTTGCCAGAGACTACAGCTGTTTAATTCTTTGATTTACACTCATTGGGGCTTAATTATTTAAAATTGTCAGATTTTTAGTAATGTGTGCTTTTAATTAAAAAAGTTTCACATTACTAAAACGTGCTTTAGCCTCGATAGTGTTATCGCAACGACACAGGACAATAAAGTTATCCGATAGAGAATTTAATGCTACCTACTTTTAATGTTTTAATACCGCGATGCCTTTTTAAATATCCAATGCAATAAAGGACCTAATATTACTGACGCAAAAACGTTAAAAGTTGGACGATATTCTTTAACGAATGTCGTTACTCTATGTAAGAAAGCCATAACGAGCTTAGCCTTATCAAAATGACAATTTCAAGATCAACACACAAAAGTAATGGAACCCGTCCCAAGTAAAAATCACTCTACAGTGGAGATCAGGATTGAACAGTGAACAATTCGAATGCACTTTAAATTCCATCAGATTTACGCTAATGTACCGAACACTGCCCGCAAAACTGATACCGAAACACTCGAGGCATCGGTGTTCTAGTGCAATATGCATGCACGTCTAATAAGGTAAAGTATGCGGTCGCGCCGTCTGCTTCCTGCTCTTTGGGTGGAAGCGGAATGCGAGCCAGTGGGAATCCTGCCCGAGCGTCGACCCTTCGACCGCACCCTCGCCGTACGTTGAACAACAATTACCAACTCACTGCCCCCAGCACAATTATCCCCGTATACTCGATTGTATGCAAAACTGTCATGCGCTGAATCCACGTAATTATTCACCGAGCCAATGAGCGTGAATACAGTCTATCGAGGAAAAATCAGCTATTACCGAGCGTTGGTTCGAAACAGACATCAAGGATAGTAAAACTCTTATGGTACTGATTTCTACACTTAATATAAAACTTTTTTTTGTAAAAAAATAAAACAAACAGTTTTTCGAGTCTGCGGGGATCCAGAACCCGTCTGCAATAGTTGCGCCAAGCTTTGCTTGAAATGTGAAAAACAATGTAGAGAACAATACATTGATATTTTCGTCAGTGTGGCAACCGGCCGTTTGGCTTTGTGGCTATGGCGTGTGGGCGCTAAGCCGATAGACGTTGGTTTGAATCCCGCAGCGCGAAAATCTTTTCGTCCTTTATTCTACAAAATTTTGTGAAAAATGAAGGTTAATGTTTGTTTTTATCTATACCACATTTTTTTAAGATTTACGGCGTCTAACACACATTCAAATAGTATTGATTCCAGTACCGGTACCAGTTTGCCACGACCATACCATGTCGATGAGATAATAAGTTTACCATTACCGTACCGATACTGACACCTCTAAAAATAACCGCCTTACGGACGATCTGGAAGAAGCGACACCGTGCGCGTAGACAATTTACGTTAAAAAGGACAAGTGCATCGCGCGCGTTAGCGGGATAGGTCGCGGGGCCGCGTGGAATGCAAGGAGCCAGGAATGCAGCCCCGGCAAGAAGCGGCGTCGCCTCCGCGCACGCCGGTGCCCCGCCGGGGGAGGGCCCGCACCCCCGGCCGCGCCACATGTCCGCTCCCCTCGCTAATTACGATATCACGCGAAAGTCAATGTGACAAAAAATTGCCTCGTCCCCTTCGCCGCATTTATACCACCATCTGACTACTGACGACTTTTGACCAATTGACCTTTGTCACTTACGCTCTAACTCCGAACAAGCCGACATTAATACGTTTTGGCCAACCCCATTTCTTTTTTCCTTCCTCCAAATTAAATATTAAGACCGAACCCGTGGATAAAAGGAAGTCATGGACGTATCAGGCCAGAAGATTTTCTACGCCGGGCCCGGGTCGACGACGGCAACTGAAGATAGTCCAGGCCAGTGCTTGCCAGCCTTTATATTTCTTAATACTGGTATATGTCTAAAGTTTGTGGGCAAGTAATTAAAAATAGTTTGCCGATATCCTGGAACTAAACTGAATTTTTAAGTATCTAGTCTTTATTTTATCTTGAAAATAGTCTGAAATCGATCGTAAAATATGTACATAATATGCATAAAATCATCGGCACGACTAGTAATCGAGTAAATTTTGCATTATCATGCAGTTGAGAACTATGATTAAATTTTCCTTTCTCCGACTCATCGGGAAGTTAGTTTAAAGACCATCTCAAAATTATTACCAATCGGGCAAGCCAAAAGAGAAAGCAGGCAAATAAAAACGTAGTAGATATTGGAAAAGACTTAAATATGATCACTGAAGACTATGATCGATTACTGAACCAAATAATCTCATTCGAATGTGTTGTGAAAAATATAATGACCGTCTACTAATAAATTTAGGATATGCAACGTCATTACTACAACTCTAATTTTCAATCGCTACTGTGATTTTATTATGTAAGGGTTTAATGTACAATGTATTTTGTTACTTTTGAAACAAGTCCTTGTATCTACATTACCAGAAGAAACGTTTATTACTGGAGTAATAAATAAATGTATAAAAATCTACGCCTTTGCACCTATAATCTCGATCTATAACAACCATCGTTTCATCAATCGATTTTTTGAACCATCACATATTATACAGGGAGGCTTTTTTAAAGGTGCCCAAATTTACACAGGAGGTTCAGACTCAGTAGTATAATCGTTTATAGAAATAAAAACAAACTTTTTTTTAAAAAAAAATACCATTCTATTCCCTAAAAAACGGAACTTGTTGACAACACGGTAGTCATTCATAAATACCTAAATTTTATTGTTCACGCACACGAATGAACTTGTGTGCGTCTTAGTTATGAATGATCGCGCGTAAAATAAATGAGTTGTGTATAAATCACGTACTTTTTGAGATGAGTTCATGTTGAATGTAATTAATTACTTACGAGTGATTTAAAATATTAATCATTTTATATAACATTATTTATGTCTAGAATTTAATTTAAAAAAATGTATACACTTAGAAAAGCCTCCTCCCTGTATAATAAATATTGGGATATAGAGAAAAGTTAGACATCGTAAAATTACTTCATTTACTAAGCAATGCAGAAGCATGGGCCTTTATATAATTATATAATTATGGTTTTCGAAACATAAATCAGTACATATTGTTCGGAATTTACATAAAAAAGTAAAAAAAAACAGGTTTCTGCCGCCATTGCCTCTGTAGAAAGTGTAAGAGCATAGTGTCCACGCGACCCTACTGCGGAATGGCAGATTTCGTTTAAAGGATAAGATATCGTGGGGAAACCTGTATATTTTCGAAATATTTTTTCGAAAATATCGAATAACGAGCAATTCTTGTATATACATATATATATATATATAATCGGAATCTCGGAAACGGCTCCGGCAATTTTCATGAAATTTAGTATGTGCGTAGATTCGGGGGCGAAAAACCGATCTAGCTAGGTCTCATTTTTAGAAAATGTTTTCAGGGAATGAAAAAATATAATTCGAACATGACGGTAAATTTCGCCGCAAGAGAAAATGTCATAGTAGCTCGGTCGGTAATCGGGCGGCCCCAAAACAGACGGCCGTGGTTCGCGTCACGATCATTTACACATTTATTTTTTTACTTTTTTTTTCGATTCCACATCATTGCTTTCTTTATTTTTAATTTTTTGTCGATTTGTTATTTTTTTCCCTTTTTTTTTGTGAAAAACATCAGTTCATATTTTCTTATTATTACGTCGGTAAGATCGAAAAATATTATGCATATTTCATTACTCAGTAATTTGTATCTAAATGTAATTTCCAAAATACACGATTTAAAAAAAAAAAAAAAAACCGAGCAAAGCTCGGTCCTCCGGGTACTTTTCTTTAACCGCTGAGCATGTGTTAAGTCAGCACTTAAAATTAACAATTTCATTGCTCCTGGCACCGGGATATGAACTCGGGTTGGTCGAGTATGATGAATGAAAAGCGAGCACCTAGACACTGAGCTATCACATAGTTTATATACAGTTTTGTTTTTGCGTTTTGTAGGATGACATTATCCTGTGTTATAACGACGTTTTACGTACATGAATAATTGAACAAACAACCAAATCCGAGACAAGTATCTGTGGGTCACACAAATAGTTATTGAATGTGTGAAACGAACAGACCATCCCTGGCACTCCGAAGCCAATAACTAAGCAACTGCGCCAGTGATACATTTACAAAATTATAAGTGTAAAATATAGGTCGGTTTAAAATTGAAAAGACGATTGATAGGCGCTTGAAAATGTTCGCGCCAAAACTTAACACGATTTATAGGGTGGATAACAGTAATTACTCAAACTACTTTAACTCTCTTAACGCAATATCTTCTACTAGTATTTACATCGAACCTAGATCGGTTTGAATCGTTGAAAAGCAAGTTTTTCGGAAGAAAATCGGAATGGAATTTAAAATCCTGTCGAAGTCAACTTGACTGTAAGGTAAAACCATACGCTTTACAAGAAAACTGCTGTACTCAAGAACTTTTTGAGAGTCTGGCGTCGCGTCTGCAGCTCTTCTGATGGACGATGATAGTATACTTGTATGCTATCAATCGAATCAGCAGTAGTTTGCCACCTTTTCGCGTTTTGAGTAATATATATTATAATAGTTGGTTCTCTGAATAATAATTCTCAAAAAAATGGCAAACGCGTTCTTTGTTAATTGTTCTCAACCGTTTCATTAAAGCAAGGGAGAAAAGTCAAATGTGTACAATCCCATCCTATGGTTGCTCCCGGCTTATTGGTTAGCATTGCATTTAATTTTCGGAAAAGATACACAATAACAATTTTCAAGCCTTTGGATCGCGGCTTCTAGGTCTCGACATACGGCGCTCTCTATTATATTATAAGCTTGGGATTACAAGGCTGTTTACACCACGACATTTTACTTTTAATCCAAGAGATTTTTGTATGGTGGGTGTAGCGGGGTTAAGGCTTATAAAAAGCTTATTTTATAAGCTTCTAATTTAGACTGAAATTAATATCAATATTTTGTTTCATCTAGCGAAAATTGTTTATGTGCATATAGGTGGACAATAACAGCCGAATGAAATGTTACTCTTTTAAACGGAACATTCTTTAAATGCGTACTTGGCACAAGTACATTACCGGGTATCAGATTTGGAAAATGGCTAATCCTGAAGGCACTGATCAGGATAATGGGAAAAACTATTTATATTATTGCTATTCTATTGATTTTTAACGAGCGTGCAAAGTTTCATTCAAATCTGATCTTTCAAAGTAGGGCGAAATCACGTTTAAAGATTCCGTAACATACATACATACAAGTGAAACTAATATAAGCGTGTTATTGATCGTTTATGACCTCTTTTAGCTCTTCATGGTCGGAAAATCGCTTTCCACCAAGAGTTTTTTTACACATTAGGAACAAAAAATAATCACTAGATCCCGGGATCCAAGGTAGACGATTGATCTCTTGTAAATCGCGTCGAGTGAGCTGGCGCAAAAATTTTAACAAATCTGTTTAGTGGAATTTGACCAGAACGATGTCTCATAGCAATAAAATATCTGACCTACTCATGCCAGATACACCAAACCATGGCTAACTGGTAAGATTGGGCTGTATTGTCCTATACCAAATACCCTTAGTAAGTGACCACGCGTCAAAGTGCTCCTTCCAAAGTTCTTTTCACTTGTTCCGGATCGATCCTAGATGTAGTTGATCTGTATATAAAGGCAAACAGTTGAACGTTTTAACCGTTTAGATGACTGAACTTATTCGGAGGTGCTGCACAGTTTTTGAGCCACTGTATTGACTAGTGTTTGTTCTCTGGGTCGTAGTAGCTAACCCAAATTTCGTTGTCAGTAACGATGCGACCGAAAACACTTATAGAATTTTCACCACAAAACTACAAAAACTCTTCAAAACGTTTTTCTGCGGTTGATTCAGCATACGTGGCACCCAAGATAGACTGGGTGAACTGACTTTTGAGAGATTCAAAGCCATGAAGTTTTGAATGTACGGTGCCCACGCATAGCTTGGGTCCTAACCCTCCTAACGAATTGATTTTTATTCGAGGATCTTTGATTACAAGTTTCTTGATCTCTCAAGTTTTCTTTCTTGGCGTCTAAAACTGTTCCACCTGATCGACGGTTTTAATTACAATTTACTACTATTGTGGTCACGTAGCCTACAAAAGAGGATCCCACCCTTGTAAACGTCTCTTGTTGGGTGTAATTTTTTTAGTTTCTCCTTGTTTCGTCAAAAAATTTATAAAAACGCGGTGGTGCGTGGGAGTTAACATTTTCGCGTCAGACATTTTATTGCACTTATTACTAAAATAAAAGCACTGATATCGAGAATACTATAAACTCCCCACAAATTTTAATAAAAACGGTTATTAAGATCCTTCATGTACAAGTTTGAGAAGAGCAAAACATCACAATTCAGTTTATGAAGCCAATTATAATTGATTTTGTAACTGAATTTTTTCTATCATTCAAGACTAATCCACTATTCAATAGAGATTTTTTATTTACATACATTCACATAAACACACCTGTCCTACAGTGGGGTAGGGAGGGTAAAAATTACTTTTTCCTCGATCCTTACACATGGATGGGACAAAGAGCCGCTCTTTGCAACTTCCATTCCCATAGTATATCTACGCATACTTGCACATTTTTATGTTCGCAACTCTACCAGGACATACCGTGCAATAGACGATAGTACAATCTAACTTTAGAGAATTAGATGAACTAATGTATTTTTTTCAACATTACTTTATTAACCAATCAGAGGTAATCCGACCCGATTGTATACATTAACTTAACGCCGTTTTTAGATTGTGCAGTTTCGCAGCCTTAATGTGCTCCACTTGCGAAACTGGAATAAATAATATGAGCAAATAAATTAACACACGCCCGAATCTTATTATTATCTACTTCAGATTAATAGGCATCTCTTAAATGTCAGTTTTTTTTTATGAATAAACCGATAAGACTTAATAGAAGGCTGACTTGAAATAGGTATCTGGCACAAGGCGTAGTTGCTAATAAGTCGCACGATGTTTTATTGAAGCATAAGGTGTCTGTTGGTTTTTTTTTGTTTATAGCTATGACATAATCGAATTAAGCAGTGCGGGTGATCCATTGTTGTGGAGGCTCAGCTGTCTGCTGAACGATTCCCACCGCATGTGTTCGCGATTATGACTCAACAATGACGTAGCAACCATCACGCCTGTGAACGATTTAGGTGCTCTATTCTTTTGGTATGGAGATGCATTGTGCTGTCGCGTCATTCACTCATGATTGCAGATTTGTTGTCGCAAACAACAGATTTCGGAGATGATTGTGGCACATTCGGTTGGTTGCTTTTCGAATGTATGCCGGATACAAGAGAATAAAGCCACGCGTCGTAAGCGTCGATGCCTAGTGGAGTGTTGCCATTTAATTTTTCAGTTTTAGCGGTAGGCCCGTAGCCGAATGCCAAAGTACCTAAACGGGTTTTAAAAATGATCCTGTGCCGAAGGCTACCCGCCGTGGAGCGGCCCCGAATGTGACATCATCGGGGGGCGCCGCAGGTTGGGAGCGACCGATCGACGGGCAGCGTTCGCGAACGCATCGCCAGCTGGACCCGTGAGAGTCGTCTATTTCGAAATTTGAGTGTTGCGCGAGTGCGGCCACACGTGCGACGTGTCGCTGCGGTGCCGCGGAGTCTGGCGCAGAGCGGCGCGCCACGGCGGCGCGCTGTCTGAGCGCTCTTCCGGACCGCACCCGTCCGACCAGTCCGCAGCACCGCCCGCCGCCCGCCTCGGGCGATCGGCCTTCGCGGTCAAATAATTAAGTCGAGGGGGCGACGCGGGCCCCGAAGACGCCGTCGCGGAAGCCGCTGCGCCAGCCTTGGTGGCGCTGATATGCGCAATCGCGGCCGGTTCGCGGTGCGCTTATTGCGTCGCCGCCGCGCCCCATCGCCGCGGAAAGCTTCCACGCCGCCCGTTGCGACCGTTCGCTCCGTGACGTAATTTCGTTCTAGAACTGTCGTCGCCACCTAATTTTGACAGGGGATTATAAATAAATGTAATACGATTTGACCGGTTAGAAGGTATAACAAAAAACGTCCTTCATTCTACTATGCTTTTATTATGATTAACTATATCAAATTGTTTCGGTGATGAAACTGTTAACGAATGGTAACTTTATAACGTTCCATCAGCGATGTACGATCCGCGACAAGGTTTTATTTAACTCAAATCAAAACAGAAATTTGTGAAAGTACGTAAAGAAACAGCGTCATGGACATTTCATTCACATTTCTCGCACCTCAGTGTGAATGCTTGTTAATAGAACTAAGTTGGTCATCTGCTTCTCAAAGTTAGCGATTGCAACAGATGGAAAACACTTCACTGACGTAACTCCATTCAAGCTAACGATTAAAGAATTATTCCGAATGTCTCACACAGGTTGAATGAATATTTAAATAGCGCAATAATGTAAAAAGAGACGAAAGAAATGACATTGAAAAGTCCGATAATTTTATCAAAATTTATATCATTCGAACGTCTTATTGTTACTATAAAAAGAATTAAACTGCTTCGATTCTAGAACTCTCAAGAATACTAATCAACTGAAATCCGGCTTTTGCTTAAAGTAAACAAAGCGATAATTCCATACATAATAGAGGTCAACACTTAATTGTTAATCTAACGATACGAGGTTTTGCTAAGATTATCGGGTATGCAATATGAATCAAAATCCGCCATCAAATTTAGTTTACGTTTCCACGTAAACTAAAATTTAAAACTAAATTCGATGGCGACGTTTTACATCTAAAACATTTCCATGTTTTAGATGTAAAACGGGGTAAATATTCTTTTTTTTATGTGAGAATGTGCCAAGCGAACTTGCGGTTAGGCTGATTCAAGTGATTACCGCCGCCCATGGACATTTCAACACCCGTAGGGTTGCAGATGCGTTGCCACCTTTCAATAATTTGAGCCCCAGTTACCTCACTCACTAGACTAAACGCAGAATTGTAACACTTCCACGTCGCCCCAGTTTTATGTGAGGTTGTGATACTTCATCGGACTTCACATTCGTGCAACAGTGAAGACTTGTACAAAAGCAATCCTTGCAGTTGATAGATATCTTATGTTGTACCTATTTACTTTCACTCGTTTTTGCTTTATTGGCCGCAAGCCGTGGCAGCTCAGTGTCTCATTGTTCGCTTTTTACTCATTATACTGACAATCTGACTTTGACACAAGCGTACATACAAACATCAATGAATATACCACAGTTGGTATGCTGCAGTTTTTGCTAATGTACGAATGGCTTAGCTCGTTCACCTTGAAGAAGAACTGTTACGCTCTTATATTTGGTGTAATGAGAGAGCAACGAAAGACCAAAATCGAGGTTGGTAAAAGATCTGCAATCCCATGGGTGTAGTAGATTTCTATGGGCGGCGGAAATCGCTTAAAATCATATGAACCGCTTGTTTCCCCACCACAATGAAAGTATATGTCCCTTCCATGTCCAGACATCTACAGGTTCATATTCTTGGGTACTTACTAATTACGTGTTCCATGTTCAGTAACATGTTCACCCCAATTATTTGTCGGTTGTTCGTTTTTTTGATAATTGAATTAGTGCTACTTCATTATTACGAATCAATGGAAACACGATGCACTTACGTTTTAAAGCGGAAACGATGTCTTATTAATATTCTGTTGTAGATCAAATCATTTCACATTCTATCTTAACTGTAATATAGCTAATGGCAGCCGTTGTGCATAAAGCACATATACGCTTTTCAATTACTATTTAGGGAAGTCTAATGTTTTTTTTACAAAAGAGGCTTTTATATGAGAACTTTAGATGATGTCGGGCTACCCAATCTCCTTGAACACGGCTTTAAACTGAAAGAATTACAGTTAGCTGTACTAAGTATGAATATTTAATTAATTGAAATATTCGCCTTCACCAAATATCCACTAGTCGCAGAGATACAATAACAAAATGTTTCCCAACACACGCCTGTCTTACTAGATCCACAAAACAACGAACCTTCATTTGTCAACGTATTTAAATTATAAACTAGATCCTCTATGATGCATAAGCGGATGATGCTGCGTATCATACTGACGGCATGAGTCGCAGGTATCGTTTTACCTTTTCTTTTACAAAATACGAAACTCCTATTTCAAGACCGATTTAGTTTATTTGGCTAGTGCGTGTACAATCTGGGGCCGAATCGCCTACCATCGGAGTTAGTAGTCCAGCGCTGCTCAGTTCATAACAAAGAAACCGTTTATGGCACGTAATATTAGGGCTATTCAAATCCAATGCGGCTATCGAGTGAGTGGCATCCTGTTTTACGGTCCGTCGGCGGCTCAACAGTCGGCCGCTTCTGCGAATCGGTGGATATTGTCGCAAATTGCCGCTTTCGCCACCCGCTGAATAATGCATGCGATAACATAACATCACGTCGCCGCCGCCGCCGCCCGCCGCTCGGAGCGGCCGCCTCGCCCGGCTCTCATAGCCGAACCTTCACCACCGTCTTAGTCAGTCTAAGGGATAAACCATGAGCGGGTGCCGCTTAACATCAACGACAGCAAATCCGACGCACCCGTGATGCACCAAAGGGCATTATTGAAATTCCTCGGCCAACTTTCCCATCGAAAGTCAGCGCGTGCAACGTGCGGCCCCGCCGAGGCCGTACCGATTGCGCTGCGGGCACAATGGCGGAGGCTGCATTCCTCGGGGCCGAATTTGAATAGTAGTATGGGAGAGCTGCGGTGGTCCCTGCCGGGGCGGCAGCGCGCCGCCGGCTGGCGGTGGCGGCGGTTTCCCACAGAGGCGACTCCTCGACCAGTTCGTCGGAATGTGGTCGCGGCGGCGGCGGCGCGCACTTTCACCAAAACAATTCGTTAGCGGCCTCTTTCGCCACCGCGCCGTGTGCCGAGCGCCTCCCCCGCCACCCCGCCCATCCACCCCCCGCACACACCGAAACACCCCGCAACCGGGGCTAGTGGAAACAAACAAAGCACTAATACAATATGTCGCATCCTTCGCACACGAATAATCGCATACCCGTTGCCAACGACAAAAATAAACTGTCTGTAAATAGTTAGATAGCAGTGAATGGTTGTCTTAAACTAATCATCAGTTGATTTACAAATGGTTTATTATATCAAAGCAGGGAGCCGCTCGACAATACCCTTCTCCCCCTTGGTACGTAAACGTATTATATCCCTTTGTTGAACGAATTTGGGACAGCTCTAAACCGTCAATACGATTGCACGAAATAACTTACCTATAAGTAGAATACTCATCGTTTAGAATTGGGCCACTGTCGGAGTGCTGTTTGAACGCCGGATACTCCATATAGGTCAACATCTGGACATTCAATTAATTGGTACTCCGAAACCATTGTGTTATTCTCCTATAAATGTAGGTTGGTGTGTGTTTATAAACATAAAGTAATCGCTTCTACCAGATTTTCACCTCCTTTAGTTGCCGAATAGTTTTGAGCTTTCCACATGTTAAAAACCGATGACTTTAAGCGATACCTTTATTTTCCACATTAACATGTAAGTCTCATTCCCATCTAAATAAATAAAATAAGTTTCAAATTTATATTAGCAGTTTTAATTTGATAAATAAATAATAACATATTTATGTTTGTTAACGCTATTCTCAAATTAGGCCAAAGATTATAAAGAACCCTTAAGTACATATTTTTTCCAAGTACTTACTAATAGTTAACTGTCTAAACTGTGCACTGTAGTGTCGCCAAAGTTATGACACATCTTGGTTATTTTATGTGGGACTCTAAAGATACATCTAGCATAAATGACAATTGATGTATGTCAACATCACGCAAGCTGTAAGTTCGATACGGGGCACGCGTATAAAATAGTTCAACTATCGCCATTCATCGTCTTTTTCGAATGGAGTACATGTAAACCGCGGTGGCAGGCTGACAACAAGTAATTAAACGAATGAATCGTGTTCGAAAATTGAATCCACCACTTCGACATCCTAAGGAGTTTGTACTAAGGCGTGAAATCATCGATCTTGTTCGCGCTAATCGTTCGCTTTTTTGCCAGGTACGGCCAGCTGTCCGGCATGGTTGAGCCGGTGTTCGGGGTGCTGGGGGCGGTGGCCGTTTCGGCGGCCCAGCCGGTGCTGCCGTACGCGCTCGCATTCGCCGCCGGTGCCATGATTTACGTCGTGGCGGACGACATCATCCCAGAAGCGAACGCCTCGTGAGTACCTCTAGATTGTACTGCCCGTTCGAGCTAAGCAAATGTTGCGAATGACGCCATCTCGAAGTGTGAGCTATTATTAGACTCACAAGCTGGGACGATTAGGATCTCCCTCTAATTATAATACTTCTTTCCAACAGTATACGGTTTACACCTATAGATTTACCTTATACTAGGCACTTTTTTCCTTTACGCGATAAATCAGTGAAAAGAGTCTTTGTCAATGTGCCGGGTGAAACTAGTTCGATATTGATATTTATATTATGACGTTTTTCAATGCTGATCGGTAAGGCAGCTTGGCGAAAACCCTTAACTAAGTGTACTGGTTGTCTATTCCAGTACATAGGGAACATTTTAAAAATTTTTGAAGCCATTTGTCTAATAATCTACATTTTTTTTTATTTTATTACTCATTTTATCTCCTATCTGGCCTAGAAAAATCCATGCGAATGCCAATATTAAAAGCGGAGCCACTAAAGAGTCTAGATTCAATTCAAAAATAAGTTTTAATTCGCGTATTGGTGCCACCGTGAGATGAGACGACACCTTGAGATTGTCCGAAAAATGTCACCAACAACGAAAGGGACCATTGTCCGGACCCTTCCTGTGCGCGGCCCTCGTCTTCCTCCAAACAAGACGCACATTTCAAACGCGACGTCGAACAATGATGACGCGTTTAGTAGATACGTATCGAGACTTCCTTCATTTATAAATAAGCGGTGCGCGCAAATCGGTCGGCTTGGACCCGATATCTTAGACCGGGGGCTGAACATGAGTTACCGTCATCGTTGGATTGACAAGGGTGACTATGTTGTTCGCTAGTCCCAATTCATCCGACGTTTCGACAGGTCGGGGCCTAACTTTATTATGCTAGCGGCACAATATATATATATATTGAAAAGACCGTTACTTTATTGGGGGATGGGGCGTGTATATTTCCCCTTTACGACAGATCGACCATTGTGCTTTGTAGTTGTTGTCCGAAACCGGTCGTGGTTTCCCTTCCTGACTCGATGGAACTGGTCGAGCTCAAGGCTAAGACTAATTGTCAAAATTTTGCGCCATCACACGTTACACGTTTTAATTGCGCAGTTTTCAACATATATCGATTTCCTTTTATATGACATGATCGACAGCGGTGAGGGAAATTTAAATAATAAAATAGTCATTGCAAAATCGGTATTTTCAGTATTTTTGTTTATTTAAGAGCATGTTACAATAAAAATATTTATGTTACATCTAAAATAAAAGGAGTCTCCTCATATTTAAAAACTAGCGACCCGCACCGGCTTCGCACGGGTGCAATGCTGAATGTTCTGAAAATGAAACTTCTAAAATTATCTGTGTTTCTCTACTATCACTATCTATTAAAAAAACCGAATCAAAGTCCGTTGCGTAGTTTTAAAGAACAAAGCACATATAGGGACAGACAGACAGCGGGACGACTTTGTTTTATATTATGTAGAGATCACTATGACAAACATAATGAAACATATCCTACAATCATCGATATAATTTCATTTTGCGTTTTGTATATTCTATCATCTAAAAATATTTTTATAAAATAGGAAAAAATACAGAATCAAGGTAACATGTAATAAATAAATTTTATTTAAATCGAGTAGTTTTTAAATCTAACGCCGAAATTTTCGGTACGGACACGAAAATGATATTAGGGTCTACGGGAATATCGTGCCAATCTAGATTTATACTACTGACATTTATACTACTGTCTACGGGAGGCGAGAACAATGGCTTCGGGGCGATCTGCAAGGGGCGCGTGCAGTGGGCGCACACGAGCCGCGCTCGCGACGCTCCGCAAATACCCGTACCGAAATAACGACGCCGTCTGACACCGCGGACGCGCCGCGCCGCGACGCTGCCCTCTAAGACGCTCCAATTCACGCGTCACCCTTGCAACACTATATAAAGAGCGGCCGGCCGACGTGACGAACGCTGGGCCCAGGGCCAGATTTAGAGGTCTGGAGGCCTCGGGGCAACAAAGGAGTGGAGGCCCCTTGCGCCCAAACTATTTTCTATTGATTTCTGTTAATATTTAATTTAATCATGTTTGTATAAAGTACTGTAGGTAAAATTTAAAACGCGAAGAAATTATGAAAGTTAAAGTTGTTTATATTGTTTACTAGTCTGAATTTGAATTTTGTTTTCCAAAGTCTCTATTGTGGGGCCCCTCGTTTGTGGAGGCCCCGGGGCTGTTGCCCCGTTTGCCCTCCCCTAAATCCTGCCCTGGCTGGGCCAAGACGAAGGGGAGTAGACGGGAAATAGCGTCGTTTGCCTACCGCCCCGCACGTGTAACGACCAATATGCCACCTCATCGCGTCTTCCACCCTAGAGCTTCGTCTCATATCTCATTTTTATCAAGCCTCATCAAATCGGGACTACGTGTTGAGATTGATCCTTTTCATGATTTCGATAAACTTTACCAGCTAATGATCACTAGTGTAAACTACAAACCTTGAGTGTATTGGCGCAAGATGGGGTACTCTGCGAGTGATATTATTATGTGGATTGCACAATTTTGCATTGTCTTATTGACTAGATTTTTGTCCTCTTGGCTATAATGGGTTGACTTTAAAATTTTGAATTCTACTCAACGTACCTTTAAGTAGACTTTTCAAAGAGGAAGCGGGTAAAAGAGAGTTTAGGTCTATATATGTATTGTCTCATATATAGTTTTTTGAACTTTCTTCTAGTGCTTTTCTCGTATACAATGCGTGGGTACTAAAATATTACGGGCTCAAATTAAAGAATTACAGTTTGTCTTTGGATAATTAATGATAGATCTACACATCTTACTTCTACGAAAGATATAATCTGCTTAAATCCTATGTAAAAGCTTTTTGTATTAAACTTATTGTTTATAGACCCTTAAAATTAAATTTATATTTTTAAATTTGGAGACAAAGTACGAAAAGATAGTCGCTTCTGTGGGAATCGAACGCACGTCTTCCGTTTTCGCGGCTTGATGCTTTAGCCACTAGCCACGGCTGATTGCTACACCGACGTAATTCTTAACGTCTTTTATCTACATTGTATTTAGCATTTGAAGCAATGCTTGGCGCATCCTTTGTTATATCTTTTCCAGCATACAAACATTTATATTAGTTTTTAATTAGTGTTTATAGGACTTTCAAAGACCATACCTTCGCTACTATACGCATATCTATTCGCACTACGATACATTAATTTCAGTTCACATTTTATCATTAAAGCTCGACAGGGATACAAACAAAAGCATACAATTCGTCCCATTGAGATTACATTTTGTCTATGAAAATGTTCACTTTCTCATGCAAATTGACTTCGTGTCGCAGATGCCAAGGTATTGGTTTCGGCGTCGGGGGTTGTGGGTTCGATTCCCACACGGGACAACTATTGGTGCGACCCGCAGATAGTTATTTCGCATCTGGGTGTTTGTCCTCGTGCAATTTATGTTTGTAAAACGTCCTTACAACACAGGATAATGTTATCCTAAAGTGAGGCCAATGTTTAAAAAAAAAAAGAAAAAAAATTGAACCAGGACTTTCAAATAGTTTTCCTATTAACAATAAATGAGGTATTGTTATTTTTCCTTTTTGTTTCTGAGCTTCATTGGTCAGGAAACATAGAACAGATGGAGACGCGGGCATTGGATTGGGGTTTTGCTTCCGACCGCACGCTGGGAGCGCTAGAGTTAGCGTTGCGAAATGTTCGTCCGTTTTAAAATATTGCACCGCGTGGGCGGAACGGCGGTGCACCGCAGACGGACTCCGGGCGGCGGCGGCGGCCGAGTCTATTTGCAGGCGTTGGGCAGGCGGGCCGCGGTCTCCTGACGGCGCATTGCCGCGCGTGGGCTTGTCACCGTCTCGCTACCGCCGATATCGGCAAATATGTGAAATAGCTCGCCCGCCGCCGGGCAGAGGCCGGTGACGCCGCTCCAGTTTGTCTGACTGTCAACGTCAGCGTCTGGGAATCCGGCGCGCCGCCGTCCGCCACTCCCTGACCTACCGCCAGGTATCGCGCCCCCTGTCCCGCTACCGCGAATGCACTGTTGTCACCTCGCCTTCAGCCTTCGCTTACCCATAGACAGTCTCGTGTTAAACTAACGGTCGAGCTAAGCTGAACACGGGCAGCGGCTGACCAGTGTCATGTTTATATCGCAACTGATATTATTATGTGGAATGCACAATTATGCATATTAGATGAGAAAGAACGATATTTTTAGACGTCTACCGTTTGCCAATTCGAACATTATTTCACGTACCCTTTTTAATCCAATTATACAAATTAATGAACACACTCGTATAACACATTGCCGCTATCGAGTTTCACAACAGGTGGGTCTAAAAACGACTAGTCTTGTTCAACGTAGTGCCCACCCCAGTGTTTGTGGGGAATTCGGTTCTCGAAACTGTTGTCAAGTATGTCTATTTAGGATAAATAGTTCAACTAGGCAGTTTCAACTCGGCTGGGCAGTGTTTGGCAAACACACTGTGTCTTTGCATCCAAGATACCACAAAGTCTAAAGACAAAAGTCTTTGACCAATGCTTGTTGCGAGTGATGACCTACAGTGCCGAGGACGTGGGCTCTAATTATGATCCTCCTAAAGAGAGTCGCCCGACGTCTCTCAGCAGACAATGGAGAGGGCTACGCTGGAAGGATCCTGGATAGATAGGAATCCTCATTCTGAAGATCGGCATAGGAACGAAAGATACCGATATAGTCTAGCGGCAATCTGTAAGCTGAAGTGGCAATGGGCAGGGCACATAGCTCGCAGAATTGGCGGCCGATGGGGCAGCAGGATTTCGCGTGTCCGAAAGCGCAGCTTGGGACCACCCAACCACCTGCGAGACTTGATTGACGTCGCGGGACTTCGCTAGATACAGGACGTTTCTGACCGATTTAAGTGGAAATCCCTAGAGAAGGTCTATGTTCAGCAATAGACGCTTACAAGGCTGAAATGATGATTCTTTAAATAATCGATTGGAGTGGTAACAAACACTAATTAGTAACGTTTCACGCGCGTACAACGTCGTAAATCTTAGCTGGCCGGCGCGACAGGGCGTCGCTGGCCTTTATAAGGCAATTTAGTTTCAGCTCAGCTAGTTCGTGGGGTATTCGAGAATTCCCCGATTTCGGCGCGTGATGTCAGATGTTTGGGCGCTGGCGCAACTCCCCGCGGCGCGTGACCGGCATGCCTCGTACAGCCGGATGTCGCAACTGGACATTGCCGCATGTTACCGTGGCTACGGCACCATTTGCCGTGCACACGTCACACGCACTGGTCACTCGGTACCCTGTGTACCGGTAGTACACGTCGCCGGCCGACTTCGCCGCATACGTCCTCGCACATCGCTCCCCAAAGGGAACCAGTGCGCCGATGACACGACCGCGACCTATTGATATCTCCGAACCGATCGCTTGCAATTTTCGTTCGCCGCAGCCAACGTCGAGTGAATTTACGAACGATTAGATCAAGTGCTATATTGTAGTTGTCCTTGATTTAATTTCTCTGTCATATTTTGGTTTATACATAAGAGTAGGGTCAAACTCTGTTGTTAAATGAATGGTATTTTGACATAACACTTGTATCTAAAATTTAAGAAGCTCTTATTCTACTTTTAATGTTACTAGCGCCGCCACATCGCAAGCCGAATGAATATAAAGTAAAAAAAAATTGAGATGGTCTGCTGCGATATCAAAATAAATAGCTGTCGTGTTTGAAAACAATTGGGCCGCTCCGCAAAGAAAATGACTCGCGGTCCACACTTCACAAATCATTCGCGTGTACAATATTAATGAGTCCGAATGTGCTATAAATCGTGCCCACATAAACAGCCGTCTAGTTTCCCAATAAAACCCGGCATACACAACGGCATGCGAGCAACTACGGGGAATCGTTTCATTGTAATCGCTTATAATTCTAGTTAGCGGATTCCGGTCGTCAGTCAATGACTATTGTTCCCCTAGAGGCGGTTGCGTGAGGCGCAAGCGCCATCGGCGGCCTTTCCGATATCGTAACTGCTGGCTCTTTGTTATTCAGACGCCGTCCGCTCGTTGCCTCTCAATGACCCACACCGTATGACGACAGAAGGACGACATCTTGTAACGGACCTCTCTTGTCCCCGTGCGCCTGTCGCTGCAACGGATATATCGGTGATCTGAGAGACACCAGTCTCATACCATATACGCGTTGGTCCCAATGAAATGTGCAAAAAGGTTTTGTTTTCAACATGAGATTATATAAAAAGAAAACCTCCAGAATACATAGGAAATGTAGTGACCAATCTGAACATTCCGGGATCTAAACCAAATGGTAAGACAAGATCTACGTTCCGTCAACGTTAACGAAGATAACGCGTCGGATAGAGCGAAGGGGAAGTATAAGACCAAGAAGGCAGACTCCACCATTAGATGGGTATAATTATTGCACAGTAGTGAGAGAGAGAGACGAGAGATTTGGGCGACCCAAATGTACAACCTTGATTAATGTTATCTGACCGTTGTTATTATTTAATACAATATAATTACTAACTCGGAGAATACTCGAACAGTTACTTTTATTTTACTTTGGTCCGATGAAAACTTTTAATAGTTTTGAAACATGAATACCTTGAAGAACACTGAATTAGTGTTTATTGATATATAAAATTGATTTGAAAATCTCAACATTTCAAACCCTTGGCAGCATTGTCTCTGATTCTTGATGAGATGTTGGTAAGGTGTGCAGTAGTGATGTTGTCATAGTTAACGTCTTATAACATAAGTCCTTTCATTTAACGATATATTGAGATGTCAATTATTATAAACGATTTATACTCTTCCCAACAAAGATGATCTGTTACATCGTAGTGTTTATCGGTTTTCTTTGACGTACATACATCATTCCTTCACAGCTTCCATAATAGCTTAGCACGAATACGTGCAGCAGTAGCTGTCATATGGGATAGCTCGACGTAAAGTTAGAGAATTTATAGTTTTGGCTTTCGCCGAGTTAGTTGTTTTACTTTAATTTACAGCTGCTTTTTAGGGTTACGTACCTAAAGGGTAAACCGGGACCCTATTACTAAGACTCGGCTGTCTATCTGTCTGTCTGTCCGTCTTTCACCAGGCTGTATATCATGAACCGTGATGGCTAGATAGTTGAAATTTTTACAGATTAAGTGTTTCTGTTGCCGCTATAACTAAAAACTAAAAAACAGAATAAAAAACATTTCAGTTGGCCTCCCATACAACAAACATGATTTTTTGCCGTTTTTAGAGATAATGGAACCCTTCGTGCGCGAGTCCGACTCGCACTTGGTTGGTTTTTTTTTTTTCTTAAAGTCCTAAGACTATTAAATTAAAGCCTTATCGAATGCAGAACTCGTAGACTATCCAGAACCCACGAGCTTGATACGGCCCACCACGTTTGGGTAGGGCCGCGCGTTATTCTAAACGAGGAGAATATCACCTACGGGACATCGAGGCTCATTTCGGACCGTGACCAAGATGGCCGTTGACTGCATTACTGGAGGCTGAGGGTGAGAACTGCCCTGTTCGTAGGCGAGGGTGAACTAACACCATATGTGGGTATAATGTTGTCCACCAGTGCTTTCTACGTATCTATATCCACTTTCTCGAACGAGGAGAGGATTGGAACCGTTTGGTTGACTATTCAAAGTTTTCACGTGGTGTCGGCAGTGTAGCCTGCCGAAAAACCACTGTGCAGATCGACGTTAAATTCATATCACCTCGTACCGGTTGCGAGACGGATGAACTGGTTTTGAGTTGCTAGAAGTCCATGCGGGATTCTAGGGCTTACGAGAACAAAGCAAAAAGCCTTGTATAACTAATATAGAGCCAGACAGCTTCGGCTATTGCACAAATGAGCATTTCCGTCCGGGTAAGTACTACTGGACCTTCTTTTCCCAATGGATTGGTTGGTCTTGTAATGTGATTAGCCCTAGTTTCCTGCTTGGGCGAGTGGCATGGTTAGTTAGTTAACTCAGTGGTCCGATAGATTGGGCCCACAGTTAACTAAGCAACTGAGTCAAATTCGAAACGGTAAACTGTAAAAGTAAGTCCTCACTTATCATGGAATATCCATCTTGATGGCCATCATCCCTATGAAATTAAAAAATGCTGGTTTACTTTATGTGCCTCATGCAGAGCATTTTTTTAATAATTTTTAGCACGTGGTGTTATTATGTTTCTAGTATACCTAATTTCTGGGCAATCCCCGCCAATGAAAATGGATTGTTGCATATTTCGCTTCGGTTTTCGGTCAGAGCAGATCATTCATTTTATCATCACTCGCTCCTTTGTGCAGTGGAAACGGGAAGCTGGCGACTTGGGGCTGCATCATCGGGTTCGTGGTGATGATGTGTCTCGACGTGGGCTTAGGGTAAGGGCAAGGGCCCGTGGGCGACCGCACCAGCAAAGCGCAACAACCGCCGACCGCCGCAAATCCCCCAGAACCAAAGCAACCACTTTCCACATTGAAAAGCCAAACAAAATTGTAAATATGTAAATTTACTAGTTAAGGGAGTCCCATATGGACGCCTCAGACGAGGTCCGATATTAACCCCGATATTATAGACTCAAACCAGCACTTTTGCGTGAGTGTATATTATTTGCCTGTGTGCAATAATGGGATCGGTTGATTGTCGAATATCCCTAACATTACATCTATTTTACTTGTATTGTTCCTATTTGGAATTTTTAAACAGCAAACTTTATTGTTCGCCTTAATTTTTTGGTCGCCAATATATAAGATGTCTGAACAATTAGGTTTGTTGTTCAAATAAACGCGCGGCGTCACTCTATCGGTCCCATTACTAGAATGTTTTAATATAGTTCAAATTGTTTTCAGCCAAAACTACGTTATAATTAAGGAGTACAACATTCTTTTTACCATTAGGGTATAAGTAATTTTTATTATTACAACTGTAATTGTACTTGACCAGTTCCATTTTAATCATTATTTATGACGATGATATAAAAAAAGTTTTTAATTATGTAGTGATAACGCAAAGAGTATTATATGTTACGCTGATGTTGAAAACCATAGCCGCAGTAAGTCTACTTTTTTGTTAACTACTTGTAATTATGTCAATTTCTTTGATGTTTTTCTTAACGGTAGTTTGTATAATTTATATTAAGTAATATTCTATTAATAATATTAATGAAAGTTACAAGATTTATTGAAATAAATTTTTATTTAATTAAATTTTGAACATTATTAAACTTTTTTAAATTTTATGGAATAATAAAATTGACATTGGCATTATCCCCGATTACCGAATTAGTTTAATATTTTAGGAAAAATAATTATTTGTATTTAATATTTTTGTATTGAAATATAATATGCATTACGATGATATATTTTGTTTGTTTTGATAATTCATCACAATATCCCTCCAGTGCATCATCTGAATGGTATTTAGAAGTTTAACGTAGTTTCCACGAAGTTTATTAAATTATTATTAATCATTATTAAAACAAAATCATATTAAGAAAACATTTTAATGGCTAACGAATCGATAAGCTTCTATAATTCAAATAAAAAAGTATTAATAACCTGCAACGACAACGGCTTAGTTCAACATTAAGTCTTACACCAATTTGTAAACTATCATAGCATTATCCTACCGTACCTGGTTATTCCTTTTCAATTCCTAGTTCTTTCGTTTACATTGCCATCGTTTCATCGCATTTGCACATTAACTATAGAACACTTTGCTTTTGGTTATTCTTTTATTTAAGCCTGCTCATTTAACATTACATAGGTATATGTAATAATTATATTTTTATAAGATTATAACATACTTCGTCTTCTGTCTCTTTTTCTCTTATCCCATTTACACAGTAATATGTTTAGCTATATTACATAAACATTACCCAAATCATTTAAGTGAACATTGGCGAAAGTTTCGGGGCGAAGATTTGTGCGAGCCTGAAAAACATACTCGTAAGGTATTATACGTCTGGAAAGTATTCGAATTTCATTTCAAATTCACACTTCTTAAACTCTAGATTTTTTGCAAACCTTTCAATCAAATCAAATTTTTAATAAGCTCACAGAGTTTCACTTTGCAATTTGCTTCTACGTCATTGTGTTGAAAATATGCGTATCTGGGTGTTTGTCCGCTTGATATTTCTGTTTGTAAAAAGTCCTTACAACACAGGATAATGTTATCCTAAAGTAAGGGCAATGTTTTTTTGAAAAAAACTAAATCAATAAACCATAGTGAATAACACAATGATTCGGTGGCTACTTAACAGCAGTCCAGGATTCTATAATGTCACTGTAAGAGTGCAGCTTTTCGTTTTTGGAATTGTTATGTGCAAATATCACTGACACTTAATTGTGGTAGGGCCACGTAATGGTGTTCACTGTTGCACAAATGGGCAGGTCAATCCGGATAAGTACCACGTCCTCACAGAAGTTCGTAGTGAGGTACGCTTTTGCAAACCTACCGGTTATCGCTTAACAACAGGTGAACCACCATCTCATTTGCTCTTTGTCACATAAAAACACACACACACACACACACCCGTTATGCGGCGACAAGTTAGCTGCCTGTCACTACATATAATAAAGTATGTTATTAGAATATATCCCTGGCTGACAAAGTCCCAAACTACCTCTTCAAATCAACAGCATCTTCGAGTGTCTCGAACGACGATGTACTGCTGATGGCTTATGCCGTGATTTATGGTAGGCTTATGATAGGCCTTATAGCTGGCTGTTTCCAGTCTCAAGGTCTCAATAATCTTTGCTCAACTAGCAGAGGGTAGGTAACTGTTTAGGTTTGCTCTAAAAGGTGTAGGTACAGATACAGATGCTACATTAAAGTTTAGTACAAATACGCATGGAGCTGGCAGCCTGATTGTTCCGTTGATCGGAATGTTATTGTCACTTTAGCTCTGGTGGAAACGGGCATCCATCAAGAACCGACCCATCAAGGTCGATTATCGTCTAACATTACCACATACTCACTGATGGTACCTCACCGGTGGTACCTTACGAACCTATATACATAATCTTTGATGTAAAATTTGACGATTCATAAGAGCGGCGAAGCGTCTATTTGAATAAATATAATTTTGACTTTGATGGCCTTAGTCTTAAGCTTCGCATGCTACGTCATTCCTGCCGTAATGCATTACGGCATTACGGCATGTAGGCTCTAAAGCTTTTGTTTCTACATAGCGAAAGTCAGGCCATACTAAGCTGGAGCTTCGTAGGTCAAGCGCTATCGAATACGTCTTATAAATGTCAAGTTTAGTTCCATGTTTGTTTTATGTATAGTAAGGCTCAAGGCCCCGGACTTGTCAAATTAAATGAACGTAGATAGATGTCCAAATTTTCGCGCCTTGAGGTCAACGGGTAGTTGGTATTGGTAAAGCGTCTGGGCGAGTAACCGGGAGATGCACGTTCGAATCCCGCAGAGCCGGATGTTTCTGTTCATTTATTTAAAAAAAAAACACATTTTAAACTTTCAACTTTATTGTCTGCAATAGCTAGACTAGCGCTAAAAGTAAAAATTAATCCTAAAAATAGTAGCCAATATACTTAAGTGCGATACCCGCACAAGAATACCAGTTAACTTGACCGGCGGTTAACACCATGCTCTAAGACTTGGGCTGCGATGCCGATGAGGATTTCAGTGCGACGTGGACTCTGCCTGCTTTGTAAGAATTAAGAGAGATTCTGTATGGAATTGATAGGAAATAAGAGATGTTTGAAAGTAGTGATAGTATGGTCCTCGTCGTCTCCTGAGAAATAAGCGTATTTTTATTTAAATAAAAATATCTCTTGGCCCATTAAAGCACTCTTAATCAATTGCGAGAGGGAGGACAAACATAAAAAATATAAAATAAAAACCGAGTATAGAAATTCAACCAGGGCCCAAATCGAATACAATAATAAGTTTTAATTAGATCAGAACTTTTTAAACGGTATTTAAAGTACACCGATTAATGATCAAATTCATGTGTGACAATATTTTTGTAAACATTGCATTGTAGGACAACATTATCCTGTGTTATAAGGCCGTCTTACATACATAAATTCCACGTGAACAAACGCCCAGATCCGATACAATTACCTAAATAAGGCGTCCCGTACGTTTGTCCCTCGGCGAAACCACCACCCCGGCCCCGAAGGCGATATCTTGGCAAAAACGCCAGGGAGTCATCAATATAAGATAGTTTAAAAGAAGCAGAATTTGTTACAAGGTCGGTTCTTGTAAGACATGCTCTGACACTTAATCAAATATAATAACACTATTCAAACATAGCTGTAACTCCTTTATTTATATACAAACTTCCAATAAATTAAATGCACAGATTTCAAAGTGCACACAGGAGATCGCGATGCAACTAAGATGAGGTAAGACAATAAAAGCAAGCTAAACCGGTGCAATGTTTACTTAACCACGAGTCAGTTCACCACAATCACCAGTCTTTTAAGATGTTTTATATTACCGAAATAAAAAGTGTATTTAATATAGATGTTTGACTATAACAATCAGTATTACAATCTTATTTTTTTCCGGTAAAATTATTCTAAACAGTCTTAATCTTACTACGAAAGGCGTTAATGACTTTAGTTGATAGTAAATGATGTAACTCGTTACAGGGTAACTTTGAAATACAGTGATGTATTTGCAAAATTTTTGTGTACTCGCATCATATCGGTAGCTGACGTCGTCCGCGTTGCGAACCAACGGAAAGCAAGACAAGGAAAATCCCATGAATCACGCATTCCGTCTGGGTGCAGCGGCCGGACATCGATGTACCTCGATTATTGTACGAACATTGCGCTGCGTACCTAATGAGCGTCGTTATCTAGGCAAGCTCGTATAGTTCGGCGGAGCGAAGGATCGCCTAAAACAAAGGAATGCTGGCGCGTGGCGGCGCGGGCGTGCCTCGGATGCCACAAAGGGGGTTTTATCGGCCGCGCACAGCTGCGTACGCACAAGAATTCGGGTGTTTGGGCGCCGCACGGGGTCAACGCCCGCCAAGCGCCGCGCGCCCTTTATTAAATATCCTAGTGCAGTTCCACCAGGTTCTCACCAGGACTCCGCGAAGTTGACAAAATAATTGGTGCCTAACCAAAACTCCGACGATTGGAATTTGAATCACGCCAAACAATTTTTAAAACGTTATTAAACTCGATTGTGTACATTACATTATGTTAAGAAATAAAAACAGGATCGGGAGAAATATTGCGAAAATTGTTCGTGTGTTTAGAGACATAAAAAATAATGTCAAGAATGGAAATGTTTATACAGTTTAATCATGTTCAAAAGTAAAATAATATAAACAATAAATGCCTGTTTCTTTTAAGTAAAAGAAAATGTCAACCGTTATTGATTTAAATATTACAAATCGATTTGAAAATGTCACTGTCGTGACGATGCTTCGGCTGCGGTAAGATTATAAGGTATTAGATTCAAAAATAAAAGTGAAAATAAGAATACTTTAAAACAAAGTGCTGTATGTCTTGCCTTTATTTAAGGAAATGAAAGATACATTTCTGAAAATAGAAAATAAACTTCAGAATAACCTTGGGTCTTAACTGTACGAAAATATTATACTATTTACCTAGTTTATTACAAAGAATGAAAGTTGACATTATATTAAGTAATGATTGGATTTCGGTATACATGGCCGCTATGTATGTTTATTACTTTACTTATTAGGAAAAATTTATCAAACAGCTTTTTTAGTCTCATATTGGGGCTTCGTCAGATTTTGAATGTATTCTTGTCAACGTGTATGCTTAAACGTTGGTGCCTGCCTCTGTTTTGTTCCAGTTATGACTTGTCTTAAGGAAACTGATACAAGTATGTAAAGATTAAGACATCCTATGATATCCCTTGCCCATACATATTGAGTTGAGAATAGAATGCTTATCGAATTTGAACGCAACAGCTCTTGCGATAATCCAGTGTTAGATACTGTGTAAGAGATTTTAAATATTGTTACTCAATACAACGGAAAAATTTGTAACTCCTGCCCTTATCACACCTAGGTGGGGTCGGCGAAACATGTGAATCATGTTTTAAGTGGTTTTGGCTATGTTTTTTACGACCAGCGGCCTGCCTGAGGTCAACCCTTGAGGGAACAAACACCAAGATCCAGAACATTGAAATCTTTGATTCACAATAATGCTTGTCCCGTGTGGGAATCGAACCGGCACTAAGCCAAAGCTTAGAATCTGCGCCAGCGAGTCATCAATGGAGAAACACGTAACTGTATGACTGCGGCAGGCTTCGCTGTTGGACAGTTCCTTCCTGGGAAGTACCACGACCTCACAGAAGACCGGCGTGAAGTGCAAGTGTTATACTTGTACGTCTGGTGAGTGAGGTACATAAATGGAGCTTACTTTACGCATTAACTATGGGTGTTGCAAATTGCCATGGGCGGCGGTTATCACTTATTATCAGGTGAACCGCAAGCATGCTTGTCATCTTTACATAAAAATATATTTTGGTGGTACATTACGAAATATGGCTTATTACAAATATGTAATACACATAAAGCAAGCCTTAGGGACATTCAAATATAGGTATATAGATAGGGTAGCGTGATGATCCCGGTAGTGTGCAATAAGTGTTTATACTAAAGAAATTTACCAGTAAGAGTGTTCCTCGTGACCGATATATCACAATTCACAGGAGGTCCAAAGAGAGTGCCCCTAACGCGTCAATCGGCCCATTGTCCAATATCCGGCACTTTTGCCCGTCGCCCGTCGAACGGGGCGCGCAGTGAAAGTGTCCATATAAATTATAATAAATGCAGTATCAGCGCGTGACGTGGACGGTGCGCGGGCGGGATGGGGGCGCGGGCGATGGATGGTGCACCGCACGCGGCGCGGCCTCATTTCCATTCATTCGGTGTTTGTTGACAATGCGGCGGGCAGCGGTCAGAGGGCGCGGCGGTGGCAGGGTGCCCCGCGCTGCAGTCGGCCGCGCGCGCCCGCGCCCCGCGCACGCTGCGAGTGCGCCCGCGCTGCACCGGCCCGCACGTGCGCCCGTTCACGTCGCGCCCGCCCCCACGCCTGCGCCGACGCCACAGTAAGTTATGCATGTCCTGCGCGTTTCGCACGCACCGACGCGCGGCGCGCTTGTTTATTTACACGCGGGCGCCGCGACGGCCGTTGCGCAACCGCCGCCGGTGCAGCCGATGGTCTCGCCTCATCACAATCGCGGACCGTTAAAACGGGAGGCAATGGCGCGCCGCGCGAATTTCAGCTCTGGCGTGCTAGCTCGAGGGGACAGTTTGCCGTGCCCGTGACAGTGCTAGATTGCAACTTACAGTGTCCAGACATTCGCGGAAAGCGAGCCGCGTGCCGCACGCGCACCTGCCCCTCACGACGCTTTCGATCCGTATCGCTCGGATGGTTTCGTTATTATTTAATATTTAACGATTCAAATTCGTATCCGAAACCATTAAAGTTTATTGAATGTTCAAATCGTGTATTTTACAAAACTGTAACTACTGGAACAATGTTTGTTAAAATATTTTCACACTACGGCATCACATGACAAATACAAAATTGAACACACCCTTAAAATTTTTAATTTAAATTTTAACTTTAAAAATCTCAAATACCCAAATAATAAAGACACCAACTTTCAGAGAGTTCAAATGTTGTCCGAAATGAAGATCTCTGTTCAAAATTTATGTAAAAAACTAAAAAAAATTTGAGGTACATTTCCTGTCAAAAAGTATTTAAAAATAACGAATCTTGTATATAGCAAATCAAATACCATTTCTAACAGTATCTTGTGTCTCATATAAACGTGATTCGCGAAACTGCAGTATATTGTAGACGACTTATTAATAAATAAATGAAAATATATGAATATATTATATAAATAAATAGTGTGGTAAACGTTTTGTACAAAATTAATACTACTAGTTTAAAATTAATTCAAAAAAATCAAAAACTTAAAACATGAGCTTCTAACTTGCGTAACTAAAAAATGAATATCACAATTTATAAAAAAAAATACTTTGTATTTCTTCTATGAGCCCGTAAAACTTAATTAAGATGATGCGGCTAACTGTAAACTAAAAATTCTATACGATTTCTTTCTTTTTTTTTAATGTGAAAAGTTGTCAAACGAGCAGACGGTTCACCTGATGTTAAGTAAATACCGCCGCCCATGGATATCTGCTACACCCGAGGGTTTGCAGATGCGTTGACAACCTTTTTGGAAATTGGGCTCCGGCTATCTCACTCGCCAGACAACGCGAAAGTACTAGACTTCCACTTTACGCCGATCTTCTGTGAGGTCGTGGTACTTACCCGGACGAGCTTGCCCATTCGTGCAACAGCTGAGGCTGCTTCGTGGCCCTACCACCGCTAGGTTAGTTATTTCCGTCTATGTTTGACAATTCTACTAACGCATTCTTCAACTCGTGTAAAAGCGTTATAACTCATTTGCCATGCCTCATATGAAACAATCATAGATTTTCTATGGGATTTAAGTTTGATGTTGACTTTCACTGTGTTAGGGCTATTCAATAGTCTCCGCTATTGCACGACTGGCAGGTACGTCCGGGGAGTACCACGAACTCATAGAAGACCAGCGTGAGGTGGAAGGGTTATACTTCTGCGTTTTGGTTAGTGCGTAACTGGGCGTCCGTTCGCTTGGCATCTTCTTGCACAAAAAAAAATTATGCATTGACTAAATAAGAACTATGGGGCCGCGCCTTATCCTGAATAAAAAAGGAATTTGCGCACATATTCACTGAGAAAGGACCAGCATGCTCATTGATCTATTCTATGTATCCGAGAGCGTTCAGAGAAACGTTTCCTATCTCTCCGTACAACTCTCTGAAGATATTCTAGTCTACACATAACTTCCAAACTACGCCATTGTTGATCCTCCAACGAATCAACTGATGTCACCTTTGTCCAAGAACATAACCTTAGACCAATCTTCATCTATACATAGCAAGCGAGCTTGCAGTTCATCCTATGTTAAGTGAACATCAACAGCAACATCCTTAGGGTTGCAGCCTATTAAAAAAGCCTATATAATAAATTACTTCACTCACCAGACTAAACGCAAAAGTATAAAAATTTCAATTCACGCTGGTCTTCTATGAGGCCGTTTTACTTCCCCGGGCGGACCCGCCCCTTCATGCAATAGTGAAAACTGTTGCTGGCTCTACCATAGTTGCTGAAAATATAAGAAATATTGATTCATAAAAATATTTTACTACATACATGAGAATCCACCATTAAATATCCATCGTGCAGTGATAGGATTTAAGAACACGATTCCATCAACGAATTATTAAATCAATCATTTAATGGTACTATTAACAAAGAAGTAGATTTAAAAAAAAATATTAGTCTAGTGTAAAAAGCACAAAGGTTGTAGAACTTTATTGATATAAGCATGATTCAGTTTATTATAATGCATATTATGCTGTTCCAAAATTTCTTAATAATCTCATATGTAAACAAAAAAAACTCTTTGATTTAAATAGAAATATGATATTAACCTAACGGGGTGGGAGTAATGTTACCACATTACTCCTCAGCTCAGAACTAATTTTTGTGATGTAATTTACGTTATACCAATGAAAGTCACAAAAGCATTAAGGCAAATTGATTAACGTGTTTTCCGCCCACAAGGCGAAAGTAAATAAGCAAGTCCTCGAAGTTCTTCAAACCTCACAAACTTACATATCCAAGAGTCAATTATATCTCATTATTTAGTGTTTAAACGTATTGTTTCAAGGCAACAGTTAATTTCTTGGTGGTCATTGTGCAAAAAAGTTTTTCTTCTTAACCTTCCATATACTCGCCGACCTGTTAAGATTCAAACTGTTGTATTTACGTGCAACATAGGCAAGATGTGGCCACATCACTGCGTTAGGGGAACATGTTTTATATTTCAATTACCAGCCCTTATGTAATACCCTGATGAATTCTAAATCCCTTTATATGTCACCCAAGGGGAGGAAGGTTTAAAAGATTATCTCACTTAGTCTCCTAAGACATGTAATAATCATAAAAAACATGAAAACGTTTCGCAAAACAAATACGATAAATATACCCAAGCTCTATTGAAACCGTTAAACAATTTAGAGTTGGCATCGTTTAGGACTTTTTTTAATTTTCCGAAGTGATATATTAATATACCTGAAAGGAAGTAGCCATCGTCGCCTGTACAAGCGAGCACGTTTTCTCATTCTCTAAAAAAGATCGCCGATTGCGTGTAAAATGACGCTTGCGTTTTAGTCACACGGTTTCTTATATAACAATAAACAAACACTGCTGAAACGGAAACCAGTTAATCGTTCGCTTTTCTTCTGTTAGCCTATTACCGTTCTCATCTTATCAAGGTTTTCTTTTAGACATTAAAGATCCTTTAACTTCATCAAACTGCTAGCGAATATTTTATTTTTGTACGGACCCCTACATACTAATTGTTCGTTGGTGCTTTCTTTTAGAGCAAATGTCGGAATCCAAAATAACTAAGTCTCTATTACTTTACTTTAAATGATGATTTGAAATCAGTCCGTAGACTATTAAAGCTTCATCGACCCCTCGTGCCTTGGAGGGTCGCGATTTCTTATTTTTCACTTATCCTCCTGTTTTTTCTGTAGTTGAGATGCGCAATTACCACTGTGGTATAAAAATGGTCACACATAGGCTAGAAAAATTTACCCCATGTTCTTAAAGGCTGACAAAGCAATTGAAACGGCTGTTATGAATGCCCATAAAAAGCTTTTATCACTTCTTTAAGCAAACCTACCAACTTCTGTTATAGGTCCAAAAATATTTATTACATAAACAATCAAATATTTTTTTATTCGTGAAGCTGGCAAGCGAGCTGACGATTCACGTGATGTTAACTGTTAACCGTCGGGTATGAGATCATCATCACCCGTGGGGTTGACGATGACAACCTTATAAAAAAGTGAGCGTTTACCTCAATCACTAGACAAAACGCAGAAATATTATAATTCTACTTCACGTCGACTTTTTGTGACACCGTGGTATTTGCCCGAACGAGCCGTACCCTAGTTAAATTATATCATATTAGCAATTAATAACAAGAAAAACTCTTTAAATTGAGGTATGGAGGAAAATTTTAGCATTTATGTTGAGGGAAAGGTAGGAAAAGAAGCAGCCATACTGGCCTTCGAAATCGTCATATGATTCTAGTTTCGTTAGAAAATAACGGTGTGGTAGAGCATACTAGAAGATAGTTACCAGATTTTGGGGCCTTTTTCTACGAAGTAAGGAAACAGTGACAACGATTTTAGCTATAAAAGACACTGTCTAATACAGATCTCTTATTAATAATCGTCTAATACGGATCTTTAGCACAAGCGTGGGAGATTAAGATTTTTGTCATTCGTTTGAAATTTCAGGAAAGTCAAGGAAACTTAATAACTACACCCCAATATTCTCTCTGAAATTAAATTAAATATTAAATTAAATACACCGTTCTACCACATTCGTACCAGATACGCTGCGTTATATATGTTCGGAATCTCTTTATAAGCGACTTTGGAACCCCTTATTCATCGTAACTTGAGTTTATTATAACCCTTTTTCATTGCGACGACCCGAATGGCGTAGTGGCCAGTGAACCTGCCTCTGGCGCCCGAGGGTGTGGGTTCGATTCCCACTATGGGAAAAATATTGTGTGAAGAACATAGTGTTTTTTCAGTGTCTGGGTGTTTATATATGTGCAATGTGTATTTATTTACAAAAGAAAAGTATGTTTAAGTACATTTATCAGTTATCTATTACCCATAATACAATTGTTGCTTAGTTTGGAACTAGAGAACGTTGTGTAAAAATGTATCCTTAAATATTTATTATTATTTTAACATGTTCAAAAGTATTAAAATGAATAGAAAATATTCCCATTTTAGTTGCACTCTAATGCGAACTTACACGGTTGCGAATAAAACCTCATCTTTTTACAATAAGTAAAGAAGCGGCAGACGTCATAATGTATAAAATTTGATGTGTCTGCGATTCGACGTCACAAGCTGAGTAGGTGAGCGCGGGGGCCCCGCAGCTAAAAACTATCGGA